GAACACAAAAGTGGAACACTCATTGTTCAGTCATGCATAAATTCGATGAGTTACCTAACTGCGAATGCGTTAAGTACTCTTTTAATGATTACCCCTCGCGTGAGGCTTGACAGAGAGATAGATAAGTGGGGCACTTCTGCAGCGAGTTCTAACTATCTGCGAAAGTGAGGTATTCTTTTGGTTTATGTCTGTAGAAACTTTAACCATTCTTATTTTGAAAGAGACCTAACAAGGGACGTAGGTATGTAGTATTTTAAAATGCTAATGCCTTTTAAAGTGTATTTTGTAATAATTCGGAAATTTCCCTTGGAAAAGCAACAAACCTCTAAAGAGGGTAAACATTCGAAATACCTTTACATTTCCGTAAATTTCTACCCGAATTTGTCGTGTTTCTGTCAGCCACTTTGGCTGCTATTTTAGCTCTCCAACCCAGATTTGAGATGACTTATGTTTGTATGTAATGTATATAAAGGGAAACGACATCCTTCCTCCGTACGTAAAGTATTATGTTCGGATGTCAGAAAAACCGATTCAAATGAAGGGTACCTCCCTTGGTTTAAAACCGCTGTGAATCGACGCAGAATTCCCAACCTCGGACTGTTGTCGAAAAAGTGGATCCTTGTGGAACCAATAAAACCGCGTAAATAGCTTAAAAAATCACGAAATGAAACAGAATGGTTCCTTTCCAGAGGCATTAGTCCCACAAAGCAGCTCAAGCGAGAGGAAAAGTAGCATCAAGTGGTGAATTTTAGCAACTAAACAATTCTTCTGACCAATGGATAACGTTTATCTAGGCAACCAAGTTAACCAAATACACTTCAACTAAACCACCAAAAGAAAGGTTCTTTCGGCAACCAAATATCTTCGAAATCCAGTTAATAGGTGTACAGTAACTCCCTCCAAGAAACTTTTACAGCAAATTATACAGGGCATGCAATTACCGACTTACACAGCAAGCCAAATCAGAGAATGCTCAAAACGAACCCCTTCAGTGAAGAATCACTAAGGTCGGGTTGGATTTTAACTTACCCAAGCCATACAAGAACAAAAGTACTCCCCTGACTTACTTAACGGAGAGGCTGAAGCCAGGCCCATTGGACTCGGAACGTCGGACCACGAAAGCACCGTCGGGTTGGACGGGCAGACCGGTGTACGGGTCAGTTTCAAGGAGGCACTCCTCCGCAGTGTTTCGACGACACGCCTGCATATACCAGGGGTTGGGACGGAAGGAGATGTAGTTGCATGGCACCAGACCCTTCCGCCCATCCTGTTCTGCCAGGTACCAGTTTGGGTCATCCTCCACGCTCAAAATCTGTCGAATGAAGACGAAGAGCTGAGAAGTCAGTCAGATCTTAAACTCTCAAATGCAGTTGTGGCCTACCAGAAGTGCGATGCCAAAATCTTACGCAAGCCCGACCCAAGAAGCATGTGAAATTTGTTCTTTACCAGTTTATGGCAGTCATTTATACAAAGTGGTTTTATAAACAGATTTGCTGAGTTTAAAACACTATAAGAGACGTTTGATGCTCACGGCAAAGGGGCAAAAACGTTTGTTCAACTTTTAGCAGATTTAAATTTGTCATTTCTGCGACGCAAGTGTTGGTAACACACTCGAATAAAACACCTTGACCGTGACAAGTTCCTCTAGGGACTTGGTAGCAAACGCGTGAATGAGAAAACCTGAGCTTTATCTACCAAAACTAGATTGTACCGATTTAACAAACACACGGAAACTCATATGTGATGATTCATCAACATGGATGGCTGTTCGTACCTTTTACTACAACTACTGCTTTGACTACAAAAATGTAACTGCCTCCCTTAAATTACAGCACCGACCCCTTTCAGTCGGCCACGCTCCGAAAAAAGCCGTCTGACAACGCACTAACTCCAACGATGGCACAACGACATCCTACTTGATCCAGTAATTTTGCGACCCAAGGAATCTTCGCTGATCACAAAAATTTGCCACAAGAGAAGAGGAGAGAAATTATGAGCTTTCCCTGCGTCTAACCCATGAATATATCAGTTCTCTCCCCTAAATGTATTTATAAAGCTAGAAAGTTGACTTCAAGCAAATGCAGAAAGCATCCTTTTGGCAATACGAGCATCCCAATCCTTCCCTTGCAACGCTTAAAATTCCATTTACGATCATCCAAATTTCTTCTGCAAGTAAGGAGGCACTCCATATCACTTATATTGCAAGTCCTTAAACGATCGAAACGACTCTTCCCATACAATAAACACCAGCAACATGACGCACTTATGCATTTGATATTTCTCTTTTCCAATTCTTCAACGCCGAAGCAATGACCACCATGTCTCACCTAATTCATCAATTTCGAAGGCATAAAGGTGGTCCTCCATGCTTACAATTTCCCAATGATAATATTCCTTAAATTCAATCCCCACCAGAGTAACCAACCTATCAAAAAAATCGCTCATCCTGCGCGAAAATCTTATTACTGAAGTACTCCAATCAGGACTAGGAACAGTGATTGCGCAGAGGCGATGATGGATCTACAGTCGAGCTTTTGGCCGACAGATCAAATTAAATGGACTAATTACTGGAAGGTTTTTCTTCCATTCCCACGCTACGCAAGAAATTGCCTATAATTTTCAGGGCCTTTTAGTAGCCAATTGTGTATTTAGGCCGTAAAAAAATGCCAAAGTCTACAACGAGTTTTTCCACAAAAATTTATCGCATCAGTAATACCACCAAGTTAACATCTAATTAGTGAAAATAATTATTCTATTAGGTCAGGGATTGATTCCCATACAACAACGGAAGGAAACGCTTCACCCCACACCATTATTTGTAGCTATAGCAAGGATGGAAAAACTTTAGGCTTTGAGGAGAAATAGTTAAGAGATAACTCATTACGAATGTTTACAAAGTTGAACTCGGCTAACAAAACTAAGCCGTCCCCCCTTAGAGTTCAGACAGCAGCATTGATTAACTCCGTAAAATCTCAGCTCCAGTAATTTTGTGGAAAATTGTTTCGGTTGCTTTTTTGTTAAAATCTCGTCCAACTGCTCAGTTAAATCAGCTTTTCTCCTTTTCACACGAAATCAGATATTTCTACATTAATACGATACAAAATACGGGAAAAGACTATCAATAAAGGGTTGTTCAGGTGACAGCAATTGCTGTATCGAGAATTGACGCAGTAAGTGGAACTAGGTCGTGCTATGATCACTCAAACGGATACACTACAATCCTTCCCATGCTAAAAATGTCTTTCATCACTGAGTCTCTATCAAACAGCTTAGACCAATCAGTGACTTAATCATGTGGCAAACAATAGAATATCCTTGTACTGAAGAAATGCGTTGATTTGGATGAATTTATGCTCGAACAAACGCCCAGACCTAAACAAAAAGATTTTGCGTGCATTAAGGGAGAAAATATGAGATAGTATGATAAAGAAATTTTGTATTGAGTATCAAATCCGCATACAGCTAAGCATTGCAGGACATTCAGGAATTGTAATATTTAGTCAGAAAAGACCGCGAACTCTACAAATGAAGTGGAAGTGGCAGAGCGTAGTCAATGCCCAATTCAAAGTCACCTGCACTTACTGACTCATAGAAATTGCGAATCCGGGTCAGAAGTGCATTCGACGGGGTTTTAGAAACGAATAGACTAACTTCAGTGCAGATCATTCAAAAGGTTACCGAAGTTTACGAATGCTGTCAAAGTTCAAGTTTGTTTTTCTGTATGGGAAGAGTGAGTGGGATCCATATTAGTGGCGTACTACAAAATCAAATTAACGATCCTGAGTACGTAGTATTCCCAATTAATCAAAGATTAAACAAGGGGACAAGGGTTCTGCGGGATTTGTCCAAACATGACATTTTAGAACCGACACCTTTCTCTGATCCTCAAACAAGATGAAAAACTCTTAAAGCAACTTTTTAGGCTGGAAGATGGGAAAGCTCACACCCAAACCGGTGTTCAGCGGCTCTCTTCCACAGAAAGGTAAACTTCGAGCCCGTAAACGGGGGAGAGAAGCAGATGTTTTACAATAAAACTTTCAATGGAAATGCTAATACAACAAAGGGTAAGAACTCAACTAAGTGCGCTAGAAAATGAATTGTCATGTAGAAAATTTTGGACGACGCACATTTTTTAAAACACTTTGCATTAGACAATCTACTGAGTTATTGTGCACGATTCCGATCTAGTCATAAAAATCCGCCCGTGTCAATTTCAACGTATTTCATATGCAAAAGCACCGCCTGTTTTGAAGCCAGCTTCAACAGCTGTTAAAAATAGTTGAAGTAAAGTACACGGGTAAAATTTCTGTGAGAAAAAAAGGAGCAAAGAAGAGGCATCACGAACCCGAATCGATGTGCAAATGCACACAAACCAAATCCACCCATCCCTTCACACACAAGCACACGGGCGAAACACATTGTCAAACATTTGCAAATCCAGTCAAGCGGCCCATAGTTTGAGTGCGCACAACAAAATCAGGGTAGCAATTACTCCCACCTCTCAAGACAGAATAACGACAGATTTGCATTAAACGAAGTGCGATTCAGTTGATAAACAAAACAAAATAATAAGAAATGAGGGAAATGGAGATCACACAGCGGAATATACGGGACAAGAGACTGATGGGTTTCAAGGGATATGAAATAGTTTAACTTGTATTTATAATACCCAAAGATTGCTTTCGCTGTATAGAGGGATTTACACTTTGCGTTTTTTACTCAAAAAGTAATTGGACATCTGATTGGTCAAAGGTGAGCCAATATCATCACAAATAGTCTCAAGCATCAACACAATCAACGAATCCTAATAACACAGCGCTGCCCATTAGAAAATAATTTCTGCTAGAAATCTCGGAGGACCTGCCTCACGTTCGTTATCCTACAAAGTAGCTATTTCATATTCGGCCTATAACTACAGTAAATTGGGACGATAAAGTGACCATAAATGTAAACACCTACTACACGTCCATTCGAAGGATACACAGCCAGAGGATCAGACACATTAACCTCTAGAAAAAGAAGCTGAAATATTGGCAATAAGCGCTAGTTAGCATCTGGGCATATGAGATGAGAAGCACTCCGTAAAGCCTGAGTTTTTCTATGTGCCTAAAACAGGGCAGCATATACCTATCATTTAATCGAAATAGAAGCTACTCAAGAGCAGAGCAAGAGCCCATTTCCTTTCTGGTAGACAGAGCAACTAGTCACACTCGCACGTATAAGAAACCACAATTATCCACTGCAAAATCTTATTCAGCATCATGACTAAGACTGTGTTAATCGACTCTAGATATTCAATTATGCATCGTTCCATAAAATTTACGGCTGTTGTAAGCGTCCTAGTTCTACACGGTTGAAAGCGTCCCTTTCAGCAACGAACTTAATTATGTTTAATCACCTCCACCTCAAAATTTAATCAAGACGAGGAAAATGCATGCTATTCCCACTACCCCAATGAGAGCATCTTTCTTACATGTTACCAGAAGCATTTTTCCTGGGACAAAAATCTACTAGGTTTTTTAGAATGGCATTAACGAAAATCCAGGCTGATTAATGTGACGCTTCCACCAACAAGGTTATCAATAATAAGTACACAGACCTGACCCCAGATCGGAACAATTGATCAGTTGGCTTTAATGATTTCCTCCTTCAGACTATGCTCGGCAGGAGTGAATGCCCTAAAACCATTGTGATTGTTATTCCAATTAATCCGTCTTTACTCCTCCGTGTTTGAACCTCCAGAACTAGTACTGTGTTTGGGACATAGTTGAGTTACCAGTAAGCATTCCCATAGGACCATAGTCTAGTTGATGTTTGCTGTTAATAGCGTGAATAATGACAACGCAAAAATAGGAAAGACAGCTTTAAAAGCTGATAGCAGTCACGCTGAATAAATGACTTACATCAATAAGTTCGTTTTTAAAAGAAGCATAAGTCTGCAGCCATCACCGGAATTGAAGCCTAGGTGATTAAGCACTAAGATCAGGTTCAGGAGCTGTCCTCATGTCCCGACAAATGTCTCTAAGTCCTCCAGTTCCGATAGAAAAACGTAGGTACAACGTAAAGGAAGAGGGATGATATTTTGGGCACCAATAACATAAAGGATAATGAGTGCATGCGTTGATTGTAATTGAGTGTCACCATAAAAGAGGAAGAAGGCTGTAGTGGTCGCACAACTCTGACCAACTTAATCATATTACGGAGGGGAGCTATGAGGATACACACATAGGCTAAAAAAGGTAAGTGAACAAACAGAGAGATTATATCACAGAGAAATCGGAGCCGCAGTTTGGTGGGGAAATTGGTAATAGATGGCGAGGGGCGTACATAAATGATAATCGTCTGCGAACAGTTCAGTCTTTAAGTGTGTATACACAAAAGTACGCGTACCGATGTGTGCACTCACGCATGACAATCGTGACGCACTACCTGTGTGTACCATTAAAAAAAATCCAGAAAGTTTGTAATGGGGCACAAAAGGTGACCTTGCAGATAGAGAAACAAGGTCATTTAAAGTGAGAAGGAAGTTACGATGTCGACGTTGCTAAGATAGCAACGCAGTTGCACGAAAAGCTCACCCAATGCAATTGCAAAAAGGGATGGAGGAAACCGTTCACATTGCACTAACTTTTAAAACAGTGCTAAAGACATATGAGCTAAGCCCAGCATCGCTTTGTAATAAACAAATGTTGGCGAAAATTGAGTACTGAAAAATTGCATATGCAAGAGATTTGAACATAGGGGAATAATCAAAATGCGAAAATTCGATAAACCTACAGGGATTCCTAATATTCATTGGGATGGAAAACGAGTGTAGTGCCAAAGAAACTGTGTTTGATTCATGGTTTCAATAAAAAATTGGCACAATAGGGTGAACAAATGAGCCAAACGCTAACACAAATGTGCAGAAGGTACTGCAGTAATGTACTCCCTAGCACAATGCATAGAAGTAAGTCATTAAAAGAGTTGTGGGAATTAGCGCCTGGACTAGAAACGAAAACGTAAAACAATACATAACGGTGGAGATCTGCAAAACGATGCTGTTAGAGGGAGTCGATTCGGATTCCCGTACCAACGGAAAGCATTAATATTAGTCACAAAAATATTGCACCATGTCTCAGGGGAACGACAGTTACAAATACGCATAAATAGGCACATAGTAGGTAAATTTGAGTCCGAGAAGCCAGATACAAGGCACATTATAGTCCAAGTGAATACGGCGAAGCAAGAATAGTATATTCACGTGACGCACCAACCTATTGCAATACTTCTGGACTTGCCTTCAAAACCGAATTCTTGCAAAAAGGGAGCTCATCTGCGGCACTTGCTTGGAAATCGTGCTTTGCATCGGCCTCCATAGCTCGCCTCACTTACGCCGTCAGAGAAAGCGGATGCCGGAAAGGATGTTCAAACGAACCGCAAACCGAAACCGAATGTTTGACCAATCAAACCAATACGTATTATTCATTTTGTCTCTTCGAACAAGTTATTGTCTGTTTGGGAAATATTTCAGGCTTCACAGACATTAAATTTCTTACAGGCAAGTAAAAATCATTCGAAGCGTGAAATGTGGGGTGATTTGGGGCATAGTTAACCACTAAAATTGAAATATATAATGTGCTGGTTCAACAGTTCTTGGCAATATTTCATTGCTTCTGAAGTATCCTAGGAGTGTTTTAGGCATATTTTAGCATCGCCTTGGTGGCTTTCACCCATTTTAATCCTTTACTTAATTACGGGAATGCACATGCATTTTTTGAAATTATTGGTAATTTTGCTGCACATAAAGTGAGTCCACTGATTTTGAAACCTAGGACACTGATTATTGCAGCACCCCGAAACGTCTTTGAAGAAGAATGAATTAATGCTTGAGCAGACTGTATAAACTGGGGCAAAGAATATATTTCCCACATACGGAGGGTATTTGGCCCTCTAGCATGGCCCGAAGGCCAGTTCACCCAGTGTGGTACAATGACCAAGTCAAAAGCTGCTCTTCACCATAACCGGGAGTTAAACAACCATCGTATTGCGTAGTGAGCGTCGTCCCAGACTTTCTCCTTGATCAATCACTCGCGCCACCCATCGCAAAGTAGCTGGTGCTGTGAGGAAACACTTACGAGCCAGCCATGTCAGTCACCAACTTTCCATGAAGCTGAAAAGATACTTGACCTCAACTTCACTGATCCCTCTTAACAATTAAGACTGCATCTGGAGTTTTGTCTAATTTGAGAACTTAATTCATAGAGGGAGAATCGTGCTGGCTATCATGTGTGTCCATAGATAGACGTAGGGACACTCGCCTAAAAGCAGATTTGTGTAAGGAAAGGTGGGATTTAACAGTTTTGTAGGGGAAGGGTTTCGCGTCTGTTCCTCCTTGCCACGTTGTTCTTGCTTTGAAGCTGCCCAGTGCTATCGATTCTTGCTCTATCCATCTAGCGGGGAAGTGCGAGAGGTATCAGTTTATTGATAGCTTTATGCGGGTACGGAAGGGAAACTCCACAATAAAAGCTTTTAGATGGTTCACCACCATTGGCACTTCAGTTTTTAATTGCTTTCCTGCAGAACACGGGATTTAAGTAGTTGCCGAAGGTAGACTTCAACTTTAACCCTTATGTTTGGGGTCATCACCAATTCTCCCATCCGTAACATATGCGCGTCTTCCTCCCCGCCGTTTATTACCCAGCAGTGGAAATTAGAACAGTTGATGGTGCTGACTGACCGCTTTTCTTCTAGCTGGTATGCTCAAAAAAACATTACACTTACGAGTTTACCTCTAGTGGAGCACCCAACTTTGCCTCTTAAAGACGCAAATAATCACGGTAATGATTTGTGATGCTTGAGTAGTTCATCGCAGAATGTACTTCAGCTAGGCAGCCTGGCCTTTGGGTCATGCCAATAGCCTTTTGGCTTTCTGGATGTTAATACATTCCGTCATAATACTGTGGCTTCTTACGGCTTAAATGCATGCTTGTTTAATCACCTTATCGGGAAGCAGATGTAAGAGATCGGTCCTCCAGCAAATGGAATAGATTTTCAATGGATATTTTGTAGTAGCAGTGATGCAGTATCTGTTGTTTGCTCATACCGCTCGATCAGAGAGAGGGGTCTAAACCATTAGCAAAGGAGTAGGGGCGTCCAGTGCGTTCTGTGGCTGTGGCACTCAAGGAATTGGCCTGTTCTCATGGTAAACAGAGCTTCTATACTGGTATGTATGGCTAACATGCATGTGGGTCATGATGGGCTGGTGATTATCTGACAGGACTGAAGAGAGACTTGGTCATTCAGATCTATTCGCTTGCGTGAGTTCAAATAGGTAGATGGCATTATTTTATGTTCCAAATTAATCAGTCCACACTAAAATTCATCACTTTGTTTCCACCCTTTGCTGTTTCTACCCAATTTACGGAAATTTTGTTCTCATATTAACATGTTCATGAGATTTCCAAAGCTCTAGCTTCAAAAAGAATAGCCAACTGCGCTGGCCAAATGTAGGTTTTATTAAGTAGATGATAAACAGATAGATTTAGCTGTTGTAAATTCCCTTTCTTTGTAAAGAAGGACATCAGAAAGCTCGTAATTTATTCATCAATTTTGAAAGTCTGCAACTAGAAACTAGGTAAAACTCGACAATTCACCAAACAAATGTTATCACCCATGGCCACGTACAAAGTGACAGCCAATTTTTATGGTTCAATCAAGAGAAGCATGATTTTACTAGTTAAATTCAATAATTTTTTTCCTGTCTGTACTCGAGAGAAGGGCGAATCAGCATTGGATGAGAGCCGCCTCCGTTCTCGCGATTACGCTTTCCAAAAACTGGTCTAAAGCTAAAAATATTAGCAAAAATACACTAGCATTAGATAAGTTATGCTGGGAAGAATTGTGTCAATAAATGTTGTAAATCGGGATCCCGGTTCCCAGACTTTTTTGCCTAATCGCTTCTATGGCAGACGTACGTGATCTGCATGAGCTCAAACATTTTAAACTATACTATAAGTGATTAATTACGGGTTGGTATTTTAGCACCTGCAATGTTTGTGGTAACTATAAAATGATTATTTATTAAACGTTTTTAAGCACCCTGGGATAATTTAATATTTCTTGGTCTAGTTTACCATGCAAATTCAAGTAATTTAGGCTACGCTTTTATCATTTATATCCAGTGCGAACATAAAATTAAGTGAGCAACCTTATCCTACTCACCCGTAAGCTTTGAAAAAGTTATTTTACTAATACCAAGATAAAGTTGGAGGCATTATCTAGTTTTGTTACTAGTTGCCTTCTAATACTCGCAAGAGAAGAAAACGAGTTAATAAGTTCAACGCATAGCCCACCTGTTCCTCCGGTTCCCTGTGATTTCAGACTTTCCACTTTGGCAGCATACATTTTTGATGGCGCAATAATGAACCTTTGAGGCGGGATTACTTAAACCTACAAGGCCTACTTTTCCACAATTAGGAGATGATCCTTCCTGAAAAGGAGCAATTCATTTACACAAGAATTATAGGCTGTCTTCAGTTCCTTCGAGGAGCTTCTTTCCACTAGAGCAAGGAGCCTGCTAGTAAAAGGGAAGCATTACCAAAGTCTCGCAGATGAACATGTTGCTTCAAATCTTCAATAAAGTGACGATGCTCGAGGATCATGTATTTGCGAAGGTCCGCGAAAAATTTTTCTACGTCTGGTAGGTAGAAAAAGATAAGCTCAAAGCACAATAAACATCATCTTTTAAATGGGAAATTTCCCGTTTAGGCGCCTTTGCTGACACTGGAATGGTAGTTGACAAACAAAAAGCAGTTTTAGTGAAGGCGAATATAGCCAAAACCAGGTATGCAATCCTTGCAAAATTGGGGACATTTAATAAAACCATAAAAATTAGAAGTCGAATGGGTTTCGGTGGATGAGCCGAACAAATGAACTAACGGTGAACGCATATCTTTTAACATAAATTAATGGTGAAGTAGTTAGAGATTCAGACGTACCCTTAAAGTGTTCAATTCCAAGAAAGGCATCAAAAGACTGGAGACTGATGGACTGACCGGCACTGGCACCCAGGTAGACCCGTTTCTTGGGGATCGTTTCGCCGCTAAGATCACCAGTTTCGGCGCCTGTAAGCACACTGTCTGGCACACCCTCGTACACCAGACCCTTGGAGATCTTTCCATGCGACCATCTTAAGGATAAAATATCACTTTAGCATGAAACTTAATTCATCTGGGCTTGAAGGGCAGCAACCTGTTGTGATACGAGTTACATTTTAGGTGAAATAAACTGTGACTACGTGGGGTTATGACAAACCAATGGAAAGAAAGCTTATCAGGACGCATCCAGCTGAAAGTAACCAGACGATTAATCAAATTGAAGTGATTCGGTTTACAGTTGCAGTTGATTTCCCTTAATGAAAACTATCTTTCTTTACCTTTTAAAACGGATTGGTGAAAATTCCCATGGACTGGGGGTTTAAATGGCTAAATTATGCGACGAAGGCAACTGCAATTCAGGTATTGCATGATTGAGGCTTTAAAGTGATGTCTAATTCTGCTACTTTTTAACAAACTCCAAAATACTAAACAAAAGGTCCTTGGCTTTGTTAAATATATCTTTTTAAACACCCCTGAGTTTGTAACCAAATATGCAGGAGAAAGAAAGGTCAAAAGTAGTTGCACTTGGGACTTTTAAAAAGGATCACTTACCCGGAAAGAAAGGGTCGCATTTCACAGTAGAAAGCCTTGGGATCCAATTCCTCTATCAAAAGGTGAGCAAAAGCACTATATAAATGGGTGAGAAGCGTTTTGAGCGTAATAAAGTGCTGAATAAAAAGAAACAATTTGGTCATAAAAGATACGCACAAAAAACCTTGCACTAGTTAACTAAGAAGCTGACTTTCGAAATTCCATCTGACAGATTCACCAGCATGACTAAAAAATTTTGGGAATGAAATATTATATATGCATTCATTTGATCCGGTGTCAAGATAACCAATTTTTTATCGCACCTTTACTCGGTTTTAATTTTGTTATTTTATAGACAGTGAAAGCCTCCTAAATCACAATTTTTTCCAATGAAGTAGTCACAATTTCAGTTTGTAATCCCTTCTCAACAATACAAGCACTTGAAATAACATTTCGTCTCTTAGAATGAAATAACCTGACCTTAGCCGTCTGTTTCCACGCCACTTTTATTTCCCATTTTCTATACTATTTCATGTTTGGTTGTTCATCTCCCACAAAATATCCCATGGAGAACACAGACGATGATGATGTGACAGTATCTCTTTCCCTCTTCTCACTAGCGATTTTTGTGCTATGAGGTATTGTGGTATTTTGCAATTATAGAAGTTTTCCCCACCAGTCCCGGCTCCTTTTCAAGAAAAAGTTCTTCGTCTACGCAAGCAAGTTGCATAGTATAGAATAGGTGGATCTTAATCAAGGAATTCATGAAGAGCTGTTGCATCTGCAGTCCACCAAGCCCACTCAAAGCACAGCCATCGGGGATGAATTGGTGTGTGTCTTGGAATTATGGAGTAGGCAGTGCGTGAACCTACTGTGGCCAATCAGTGAAATGCCCGTTAGCTTGAAAAACTTGGCAGTACAATTGCGGTCTGTCATTAGAAATCGGTCAGCCAGCAATTCCTTCCAACGCTACGTTTATATGCACCGAAAGAAGCGAAGATCAAAATGGTAGCCCTGCAAGCTTATTACCATCTGTTAAGTGTATGAGTAAAACCTTTCCTATCCTGTTTGGAAGCAAATCGTTTGTATTATTACCCATGATAAATTGAATTAAAATTTTACTCGACCTTTTACATAACCAATAGTGACACAGTCCTTTAACACTTGGAGAGATAGTTTCCCTGAACACGATGCGACATATTCTAAATATTCATCATCAGAACCATTTGTATTGACCATTGTTGGGCGGTAATTTCTTCCATTTCCCACTCTTTAAGACTTCTTAAGCAAAACTCTTGCCTTTACAGCTTATAAAACCGAAGTAAACCCCTTTTGTAAGGCAAACAGGATTGAATCACGTCAGATTTGTTTGCAAGTCACTTTATGATATAGTAAAAATAACCGAATAAACAGCAGAGGGTACTGTGTCGGCAGCCTAACGTATATCTACTCTACGTATCGCATATAAACAGCAGGACACACGAATCATTGCATCGAGGTATACCGGGTATCACACGAGCACTTAGGTCATCTAATGGTTTCAAGCATCTAATGCTCCACCCAAAACCTCGGTAACGACATTTGATGACATGAACGAATTTAAACAGTGAATTATATTGAAGCTGATACATGTTAATTCTGAGCTTTTGTTTCCGTCTGCAAACAACGCATCTACCAAATAAATGATACTGTCATCAAAAACAGCATCATTTTGATAATGTAAAGCAACTACGAATGATTAATTTTTAATGCCACGCAATGCTTTGCATTTACCTTCTAAAGTGATTATTTAAGTTCCTAACAATAAAGGTATATTCAAGTGATGCAAGAAGTGGCTTGATGAAGGACTGCCTTTTAAAGTCAATTATTAAGAAGGCAAAAAACTCAAAGAGTTAGTAAAAATAAATTGGAAAATAAACCTCCATTTGTTGCATCGTTTGCGTAAGCGAAATATCAAACTATAGGCACCCCATGGGATCATAAATTCCAAGGAAATTTACTAGAATTTAGACGAGACTTAAATAACCTCTCGGTAAATCCAATATTTACATAATAAAGCAATTATTAACCCAACTCTGTTGTCTATTTGGCTATCTTCAAGGTGATCTCAGCATAGTTTTGAGATTTGAGAGCGTCCAAACGAGTATAGCGCAATGAGAAAGCACCAAAGCCAATAAATCCGGTACCTCGTAGTGCATTATCCAATGCTTCATAATCGGCTTTCAGAGAGCCGAAAAATAATTGGCGTTAAAAATAGCCAAGTAAGTTCATTACAATGGGAGTAGATTCCAAGACGAAGAACTTACCTATTCTGATTTTAATAATGGCAAATGACAAAAAATCTACTTTGTACTTTTTCAAAGGAGGACTTTGAATCCAATCTGCTTAAGAAGGTCTAGCGGCAAAGTACACGAAAGGTGAGAAGAAAATCCGTGATAAAAATTGATTATAGGCGGTCAGAGATCTCAGAGACCTCCCAGGACATCAAAAGTACTTAAACTTACTCAAAAGCAGTAGTAATTGTTGTCGCATGATGGAGATCACATCACCCAATTTAATGAGACATTCGACTGCCGTTTTGGTGTTATTCTTCTGCACTGAATTGATAATGTGCATCATGATCTAGACGGCAGTAGAGAACTCTTCAACTGCCCTTACCTTTGCACCATCGCAGAAGGATAATTCAATGTCAGCGGTTACTTCGATGAAGGGCAACCAGTTAGGTTGGTCAGAAGGGATGAATTCGGTAAAAAAGACCCTAAAAACATATCACTTGCATAAATCTCACCGGCATTGAAGTTAGGTACTTGAAAGCTTTCGCGTTAAGAATATAGCAATAAAATCCTAGGCATCCTTCAAGCTTACTGCAGCGCCGAAAGTCATTTGAATGTGACGCTTCTAAGTATGCCTAATTACTTAGACATTTAAGCCTTTCAGCTATTCAGCCACCTGTAATATTAGTCCCTCGCCTTCTTTTAACCTCGTGCGACTTGCAACGATTTCGAGGATAAAACGGATGCTACATTGGCAGCATTCTTGATGGATATTTCCGGCATCCTCTCCTTTTCCGAAGGATATGAAATCTTGCGCAAATAGTCCAAAAGGAACTTACACAAAGTACCCATTTTGATGGTTTAGAAAAGGGAAATCTCCAATGGGTCCGTAAATTTGTGAATCTGGATATTACCCTAATCGCATGTTCTACATCATGACTGTTTAATTGAACAAAGCCAGAGTTAAATTACTTAAAATGTGTCGCAAAAAATATCGTCCAATCTTAATCAACACTTAGCAAAGACATTAAGTTGACACAATCCAAACTACAAATTTTGTCGCTTACTGTCGCTGAAGCAGCTGTGTTTTTTCGGGAAAGCAGTTTGAAAGGACTAGGTCAATGTGTCCAAGCAACGGTTGGCAACCCAATTCGATGGATACCTCAATTAATGGCATTGCAATAACAGCAGGCAGAATCTAAGCGAACCAAAAGAATTTCATGGCTACGTTAAGCCATAGTTTTGAAAAAAATGATGTATGGGGAATATCCTCTTTGCAATTAATAACTGAGAAAATGGTCACGTAAGATATTTGTCTTGTCATGAATGTAAACATTTAAACGCCTTTTCCAATGCATTGAAGGTTTTCCAAACTCATGACCGATTACCTTGCAAGACTAAAAATACTATCTTAAAAATATTGAGAGATGGCACACAATATCCGAGTTTCAGTTACATTTGATAAGCAAATTTTAAAATAAATTATAAAAACATAATAAAATACTCTAGCAGTATTAATCAAGGAAGTATGAAAGTGTGGTTTTACACACGGAAACATGAATAGAACAAGAAATCATTAAAATAATTTATTTTGTGATGATTTTATCTTTGTTCGTAAGTCTCGAGGGAACTGGGAAATTTTGGTCAATGCAACCTAACAACAGAATATTTCCTTATAAATTTGTAAGGAACATATAAATGCATTTAGTAGCTTATACTTGCAGAACCACAAAATCATCGGCAGCGTTTGTGAGTTAGGCCACCAAATAAAAGTGGCCTTAAAGATATCGTGAATCCAAACTATGGTAATGAAATATGGTAGAATGAACTGTCCATTATTTTCCTTCAAAAATCCAAATTCGTACAAGTAATTGTAACTGTAAATAATGGATGTTCTGCTGTAAACTATTAGTTATGTCGATAATCTAGTGAATTTTCAAAGTGTCGCAGTGAAAAACCGCCACGTTATGACTTCGAGATAGTGAAATTAGAATGCAACGATATCATGCTGCTTTGATTTGATATTTTACAGATATTCACCCTTTTCGTTAAAGGCACTTTGAACAAAAAGTTATAAACCGACCCGTTAACAAAATGATATCAACGTTTTCGCTGTCATATGAATGTCCTCAGACTAATCACATGGTAACTTTACCCCGCTAATGTTTACTAGACCAGATTAATTAATTCGCGTCTGAAATGTTTCTATGCGTATTTATAACTGGGATGTTCCGAAACAAGTCACTGATTGTGTCCGTGCTAGAGCTATTAATTAGGCGGGAACTGAGGAAAACTTATGTAAAGCGTTCTTCCAAAGTGATAAAAGTTGATGACAACGTCAGGACCTTACTAAAGGGCTTTGCATTCCAAAAATTTTTTGAAAACGGACTTACCTCGGCTGGATTCCTATCACCATTTTGCCACACATACTGGGCCGCCAGGAAGGCTAAAATTTTGTGGGCTAAGCGCTTTTCCTCGTGGCTCTTCAGCTGAGCCATATCCAGTGTTGGCAACTATTAGAATTCGGTAAAAAGCACATCATCATAGTGAAGCTTTATTGTAAACATAAACATGATATTCTGCTGAAATATCACCTTTTCAATGGATTCCCGAAGTTTACCGGAGTTGAGTAGTTCATGCGAATGTTCCAGAAGCCTTCTAAACGGCAGAAGAGATGGTGGCGGTGTTGTCTGTGCCAAATAAAAGTGACGACGATTTTCAAAAATTCAGAAGGATAAAAAGTTCGTCAAAACAGATAATCTCACTTTCAAATCTTCTAGATGCTACAGAGACTACAAGTGAATTGTTTAAATTAACAAGCAAAGAAAGCACCAAAAGAATATGTTCATTTTGTTATTTACTCAGTGACCTAGAAGTAAATATGAATTTCATGACTTCCAAATAAGCACTTGCTGGATCGCAGCAACTTACTGGTTGTCCAAGTAGACACCCAGTGACAGGGCTGATTTTGTAGTCTTCCAGGGCTTGCATTGTCTGATCGTTACACTAGGAGGTTGGAGAGGCCGAATTAATAGGTCAGTGGTAAACAAAGCCAACCTATTAGCGGTTTACACGGCAGACCTGCACTATGGTGCGCACTCACATGAATGCTTACGCAATTACATCAAGACGGGGACCACTGAAATCAATGCAAAGAAGCCATGTGACATTTGCTAAAAAGTTTATAAGGAAGTGAAAAGATCAGGATCAAGAGAATGAAGTTTACTAACTCATTTAAGTCCACAAAAATTTACTCTTGTGAGAGAACCATAAACAGGATTCATCCTGCATACTAACTATAATGTGGTTAACAAAATAATTTTTTCTTTTGGTTTGGTACGGATCCCTGAAACACTTTACTCTACTGTTGCTTGTAAAGGCTAATTAAGTCCTAGTACGGCTAGTTATAAATCACCAGGGTGAAGGGTGCGGCTACTGAGGAGTTTTAAAATTTGTGGTGGAAGAGGATCGTACATAACTCACAAGGTTTCCTCCTAAGTTACAGCTTTAAAATTTCCTTATTAATGCATTAGTTCAAGTAAATAACTGTTTTAGAAACAACATCAAGTACTGAGAAATAATATTCTTTTTCGGCGCTGTTTTATATTTAAAAATTTGGGTATTTTCATCAAAAGGAATGGAAAATTTAAGGAAATTAACATGTAAACTTGCCCATTTTACACAACTTTTAATGATAAATAGTGGTTTCTGAGGTGTAAAAATATAAACCTTCTAGCAGACTTGGGATGAAGGTCTAGACTTTAGAGTTAGTGCCCTTGAAATAAAAATGTGTAAGAAAAAATTTTAAACCATTCATGGGATGGAAGGTGTTCTAATCAGGCGCATAGTATAAGGGTGTAGACCTTCTATGGAAAGGGGAAGTCAACTCTATTTACATCCTGCCAATAAGTCTCGAAGTCCAAGGTTTCCAGTCAAGGCAGATAGCAAAGGAATGAGTAATTGCTTTTTTATGAGGTGGCACGTTGGAGTGAAGTATGCAGTACGGTTTACAAGGAGATGGCACCAATGCATGTTATAAACATAACTTGGTCCCCGCCGGCATGTTTGGTCTGTATGAAGATTGAGTTCTCTCTTGTGGAGTTTCGGCATGAAAATGTATAAGAAAATTTCAAAAATGGTAATTTTGACTGTTTTCCACGATCTCCATTACTAGAGGTGAAGAAGACCACCGTAGTTAGTGATAAATAACAAGAATAAAGGAGAGATAAATGCAATTAAAACTCAAGAAAAGCTCAAATTTTGTAAATGGAGGAGCAAAAGCGCCAACGCATTGATGTTTATTCCCAAATCCCTGTCCATGTTCATGACGAAAATCGCATTAAGAAGAAAACTAATTACGAATAAAAGTGATAGCACTTAGGTCACGCAGCAAATTTTTAAAAGTCTTAAAACTTTTGGCACAACTTTTATAGTAGCTGGCAGTTACTTTGCCTGGAAGTCATAAAAAAGATCTTTTGCTACATATCACTCACACCCATTTGGAAGGGAGGATAAATGCAAAAGTTAAAGTTACCTATGCGTGAAATATGCCAAATCAACATCTTTAGTGTCTTGAATCTTGCTGTTTGTCACTCCTTATCCACCCTCACAAATATTATTCACTAATTTTAGAAATTGAGAGAAGACAGTAGGCTTTTAATTATAGAGGTCAGTGTAGGTCATCAGATAACAAAACATAGGAAATAATCCTTGTTAACGAGTTGTATGCATTGACTTATGGCCATACTTGAGAGGACATTATTAGTATTAATATTAGCAGATGATCAATTAAATAATTGGTCAGCGACTAAGAATCGGAGATTGCGAAAAGTTAGTGAATTAGCAGCCAAAATGATTACGCCTTAGTTTCTATTGGTCGAACGACTAACAGCCGAACGAGTGGTTAATTTGATCAGTAAAATTTTTTCATTAAAAGGAGAAGTAAATTTATCCAATCTTCAGTCGTGAAGTTCCACGCCAAATTTTTCATGAGACACTGCCCGCGTGTTAAAACTTGAAGACTTGGGAACTAACACTATTATGAAGAAACCTTAAAGAATTAGAGAATTCAACACATCTAGATGAAAATGTAACAGAGTAAAGATCGATGGAGTTCCAAAAAGGGTCAAGACTCTTATTCTATCACTTTGACCAATTTTAATGAACCGAAGTAATTTTCTTCTTACCGTTTCTCAGAAATGACTAGTTTTGCCAATCTATTTACCCTTTTAAAGATTAGAACTATTTTATTGGTTAAAGTGGCCACCATATCGTAGCAGATAATTGTGCCAATGAAAGCAGGCATAGTGAATTATGCTGAGTTCCTTGGATGGAAGAAGGTTTTACTTTGCACCGATGCCTTTCCAGCGTGGTTTTTGTCATACATAAATCTATTGACGCATCAACTAGCGCCATTAACTTACCTGCCACTTGCCTCTTAGAAGAAAATTGACCACTGCAGTCGCTTAGGTATTTTACCATCCTCACATAGCTTCAAATGCTTCCCTTTTGTCTTTTTTTAAAATTTGACTTATTTCCTTTTTATTAAAAGTTCCACGTGTGTAACATGTACGATCGGGCAAATAAGTTTGTGCCATGTTTGTGTTGCTGGTAGTGGAGGTGTTAAAACCTAAAGTTAGCAATCTGATGCTTTTCACTTAAGATTTATCGCTTGGCAATTCAAAATGTTTACGTAACAAAAAACAAAAAACTGAGGTTATAAGATGCAAGATTGCGGGGAAGAGCAGAATGCAAAGTATTTTTTAATTTATTCCGGATAATTAAAATTACCCGTGGACAAAACAACACCCGGTACCTATCCAAAATTGGTACAAATGGCAATTATTTCGATTATTTATTTGATTATCCATCATCATTGCATGAGGATACGGCACTTCGCCAGAATGTTATTCGTTCTCAAGTCGTTTGGTCTTCCGTAATTTGAACACAAAGACAATCACGCCGACAGCCATGGCGAGAACCATTCCACCAATCAGGATATAGAACACGCCAGAAAGATTTATCAATGCTAACGGCTCACTGGTCTGCTGTCCACCGCCCTGCATACACTCTCCCTTCTCAATCCACCACTCCTTGTAGAGCTTAGCCAACTTCTGATTCTCTCGTAAACGCAGAATCGCATCGGTTACGTGTTCCTTCAAGATGCGCATCTCTGGTTTGTTGGCGGGAAGCCCCACTGCATATGCCTTGCTTCCAAAGGTGCTTCCGACCATCATGGTATCACAGGGCTGTCGATGATTAATGTATTCAATCATCTTTGATTCTGCTACGAAGGCGTAAGGCTTGGTTCGAATCCTTTCAAAGCCTGCTGCCAGTGTGGGGACGTAGACTGAAGGATCCCGTTCCATTCGATTAAAAACCGTCTTATAAAGACTATCTTCTGCATGTGCAAAAAAATCCTTAGTAGCCCCTGAGTCCAGCGTACCGATCTGAATGGGTAGATCTTCCCTCTCTGCGAAATCTTTGATGGAATTGATGGGCGAGATTAGACGCTCTACGGATAAAGCTGCAGCAAGATTTGCCGTGTAGTATGCCATCACTACAAGACAGACGTACCTCCAGATACTAGCAAATACACGAGCTCCCGGAGAGACTGGAAATATGTCAATGCCCTGGTGAACGAATGAGGCCACAGCGAACCAGATACAGTTGCCGAGATTAAAACCCAATGCAGGATTAGCTGGAGCTCTTTCTTTGGGTGAAATTGCAGCGATAAGACGCAGTCCCAGGCTCACCACTATCGTGGCTCCAGCCATTCTTAGCCACACAGCGTTTGTTAACGGGGAGAGAAAGCTGAACATGCCAGGTTTGGTTTTACCAGGCTTTCGAATGATCAAGGCGAGACCGAAATTCATGAAAGGTTCGGAAAAATCAATAAACTTGGCACGAATGGTATTCATAGTCAGTGGGGCAATTATCAAGTCAGCTTCGTCACGAAGCACCTCTCCTACCATACCGTTCCACTCACCGGTAGCTGCATCAATAGTTCCGAATTTACCATCCTTCACCAAATGAATTTCATAGTTGAGGTTGAGGTAATAGAATATGTGGTCGGCAAGGTCCTTGCAGTATCCCACAAAGTTATCTCGTCCAGAGGTGGCTCCAGTAACTTCCGGATTTGCAAACATTATAAAGGGTTTCGATAGAACCGTGACAACACGAAGGGTTTTATTCCTTAGGCGATAGATATCTAACAAATTGTTGTAATCAAGAGGCTCCAAGATCTTTTCTTTTAGCCCAGAAAAAGCAATTTGATGGAAGAAGCCAAGATGAGTGGAAAGGGACGGTAAAACCCACCCAGAATGGCGACTCCATTTGGCAATTATGCGATCCCTCTTCTCTCCAAAGGCGGAAGAGAGGAGTAGATTATAATCAGTTCGTTGACAGGTTCTTTCGTCAAATCGTATGAGCCCAGTCTGACCAACTATCTCGGTTGACGTAAGCCACGATTTAACTCGATCTCCTGGCTGCCATTGTTGAACAAATGAGGCACTCACTAAAGTGCCGGATAAAGTAAAACATTTTGATCTCAAGTTTGGATCACGCGACTTCCAAAGACCATTCTCTGTGGCTTTCTTTAGACTCCAGCCCACTTCAAGAGCGTCCATAATGGAAGCAATGTTGTGAAGAGGTATTTGAATGCTTTCCCACTCCTCTGCAAACTTCAGAACTACTTCATCCTGGTAGTCTAAAAAATGGAACCCTGTGAAGTTGACCCCACTTCTTAGGAACTCCTCCAGTGAGAGTTCGTAGATGTCAAAGTCGACAAGGAGGTAGTTGTACTCCGACCGCATCATTCCCATCCGACGGAACCAGGTCACAAGAGCCTCTAATCGCTCTCTACCAGACAATGATAGACTTGTTTTTGGCTTTCCCAGATCAATAACCACATTTCGCTCCGCTTTTGTGGACAGGTAAGCATCGACGGACTTCAATGTTGTGTGCATAACCTCTTCATTATCAACATCGACATAACCACTCATAATGGGGGGAAGAACACGACGAGTAGTCTTTTCCTGAAAATTTCGGGGAGAAGCACCACCAGAACTTCTACCTATAGAAATTTCTACATCCGATACTTTTTGGCTGATGAATTGGAGACGTCTGAAAGCATCCATCGATCCATAAAGGTAGGCGAAAGTCTTCCAATTCCAGGTGATAAGGAAGTCCATCAGAGGTTGAGTAACATCCGGGCGCACTGAAAAAAGTCGACATCTACTATCTTCTGCATCAAATGGAAGTTTAAAAGTGGAGGGGATTTCATCCCAAGTGATGTAAGGGAAGTCGAAAGTGGAGGTGAGGGACTGAAATAGGGATGTTACACCATATGGTAGGCTACCGATCAAAGCGGCGCGTTCGACAGCCAAGGCACGACAGAAAGCTGAGAGAACAGTATAGCCCCGATTCTCGTGAATACCCTGAATAGCAGGGGTTTCGCCTTGTTGCAAAGCTAATCGACGAATAATTCCCAGAAGTTGAGCTCTTGAGCCGGTGGCATTAATACCGAAAGGAGTGTCCAGAATAACGGTAACCCCATGACTGTTGTTGGCGCTGAAGATGAAGGGTACGAGGAGGAAGTATATTACTAGCCAGATGGACCAGCTAATAGGAACGGACATTTTGCGATTTGAGCTCAAAAAGCGACTCACTACGATGAAGACGTTTTGGCCGCTCGCACGTGCGCACTTCATGCAAGGTGCTGATTGGCTGGTGGATCGAGTGGCTTAAAGCATCGACCATGGATGGATGGGTGGCAGAACTGCGGTTACATTACCTACGTTTCTGTAAACATCAAACCCTATGCTTGTGAGATTCAAATAACTTAGCACGCATTGTATCCTGGCCCTTTAAAGGCCTTGAGAAAATCATTTATATGAGATGATTAATAAATACAAGCAAAAGTAGTTGGCTCGTTAAATGTCACCTATTTTTATACATTAACAAAGATTAGATAGAGCTTCAGTAGGGTAAAAAATTGTCTATCCTGTTCCAAAGCAAATAAAACTGCAGAGTATATGCATTATGAGACGGACATATGGCTAGGATGTGCTTTCTTATTTGCATGAAATATTTTGATTCATGTAAGCATTAAATCATGTCACAAATTACTTTTAAACAACCAACTTCAAATTTCCGAATTCGAATGCTTTACGTAAATTCATTGGTTTCACTTATCACCATTAGGCAATTAGCCACAATAGCACCAAAAACTGACCTCCTGTTGATAGGAAAGTAAAATCCATTTCAAGGAAGGGGAAACACGTTATTACTCACTTGAAGAATTGACATTCATCTTGAAAAGTACAAAAGAAGTTAGGTTTAAACACAAATTACTGACTTGTGTTTGAGTAAACAAATAGTTTCTTGAATTGTTAGTTTGAAAATGAATAATAAGTGACAGTATTGTGATAGGCTCGGTGTTTTTTCTCTTCCACCGCTGCCTTTAAGTCTTGAAACGAATAAACGAGTCGAGAGAGGACATGCCTTGTTAGGTAGCGATAAATGAAGGGATTCAGGTGTCACAGCTTAAGCCCATTCATGCTGTGTTACCTTCTCGGAGATCGGTGGCATCTGATCCTTCAAAGGGTTCATATTTACTACCCGTCTCCCTCCTAAAAGGTTAGTTGAAACAGATATGTATTGTAATGCATTTGTTTATACGCATTTCCAAGTTGACTTTCTGACATTTATGATTAAAAACATCCATTGTGACAAGTTTTCCCTTATACTCCCTCCAATTTTTACTCTCTGCTAATTATTCGCCAATAATCCAGCTACTAAATACTAAGAAAAAAGAAAATTTACTGTATTTCAAAGTCCACACCTGTAATTAGAGATTAAAAGTCATACTAGTTGTGAACTCGCTAAGTAAGTGACCATTTGTTAAGCACGCATCCAGCGGTTTGGATAAAACTTTATAATCCAATAATGGGTATCACTCTCAACACACAAAAGGACCGGAAATTTATGAGCATGAAATTCAACCAATTTTGGTGACTAAAGTGCCAAAGTGAGTAAATCTAAGAGGTAGCCAAATACCTTTATAATACACAGCTCTTCCCAGCCCACCTTTTTTCTCTACTCCGCTTTGGTTGAATAATCAACCATCAGACTGGAACGAAGATGCCACGAGGTTTTAAATCACGGATGGATTGCTAGTCACTTCGTAAATATTGCGTTCTCTATAAAGTGGACTGGATCGGAAAGATATGGATTCGGAAAATACTACTAAGGACTGGAAGATGCCCTTTAGCGAGCATAATTGATCCCAGTTTCCTTTGGTAAGTATATTTATCCAGAGGCAACATTTTTCGGCGCTTTCACATCTGCTCCTTATTTAATCATTCCTGTTCATATTGCAGTTTGCGACAAAGTTGAAAGTAATTATCAGAACTTAACATTATTTCGATAGTTCTGTTGTAAAACTAAAAACTCTACAAACCCTACCAGCCACAGCAGATGTCTTCATTCTATAACTCGTAGAACTTGTTTTTATTCAATATGGGTTTTCCTGCCACCCCCATCAATGCGGCATCTTTGCACCTCTAAGTCATCTCTGAAGGTGTATTGGATCATATCAATTTTGACGGTTTACAATTGTCAAAAAAGTGGCTGCAGGGGGGGGGGGGGTAGTGTCCATTTGGTTACAAATGGAAGTCGGACAAGTATTTTTTTACAACAATGCATTTGGAGAAATTTTTCGCTTGATTATCCTTTAAGTTAAACCTGGATAGCCAACTCAGTTCTTTATGCTTCAAAATAGGTGCAGTTGAAGTTCCTCCTAAAGAGTTTATACCATTGGTTAATTATCATCCACTCGAGCATCTCACGTAGTAGAGGTTTCTAAAGGGGTTACTTCATAGAAATCCAACTGCTGACCAGACTTGTCTGCCACGTCTTTCTCGGCTTCTTCTCAGGAAGTATTTCTTACTTTGCTAATAAAAATTCAAATAAGGAAGTCAATAATTTGCGATTCTATAAACTAAAGATGCGTATAGTTAATAGACCGATAACCCGTAAATTGGGAAAAGGATTTAAATAAAGATTGCACCTTATTTTCTTGTAATAGTACATGATTAAGTACTTACGCACGTGAAGTAAGCGGAAGGAAGGTGTGAAAAAAGGTGAAGGAAATTCTATTTTTGAAGGAACCTTCAATTGTTTACAGCGCTAAAATATCCTTCAATCGAAATGCATCAATGTCGATGTCCCTGTTATGTGGAAGCTAGGCGGTGTTAAGCTACGCACGAAGCTGCCAAAAGCGGAGAATTTTTCAAGGGCGAGACGGACAGACAGGGAGAAGAAATTGATAGTGATGCGAGAAACATTGAGCAAGTGCAAGGTCAACTTCTTTTGTAGTAGCCGTGTGTGTTTTGAAAGACACGAAGTACGAAAAAAGGTGAGGAAGGTTAAAACAATCACGGCAGAGCGTTCACGAAGGCGTTGGCAATAAGTGGATAGGCGGAAGACAAACTGCGAAATGAGGGAGAACGACATTTTACACCGTTGAAAGGGGATCGGCCTCGTCGGGGAATAGCGGAACGACGCCGTAGAGGTTCTCTGAGGGTCGAAAGGCACGGATATACTTGGAGGGAATTGTATTCATGGCAAGTTGTTTCACTACCTCCGGTCGTAGACTAAACCAATCGTTTTCGAGCCAAAAATCCAGCGACCCACGGCTCCTAAAATGAATTAGAGGCGTTCACAAAGGCTGTTACGCAAACCACAGTTTTTTCTCCAAGTTTTTACGCAAATCGCGGTACCAAAGTATATGCTTCCGTGCCGTCGATTAGCAATAAATTTCTTCAGAAAATCAGATTTTTCTTATGAACTCACATGGGCTCCGATTGCAGAGCATTGTAAACAAATCTTCTGCCCCACTTAGAGAGATGTTTAATGGCCTTTAGGTTGACTACTGGCCGGTCGAGATGACGATAGCCACCGGGCAGTGACACTGTGGAAACTCTCTTTTGCAGCCGTCTTGACGTCTCCACCGCATCCATTGCTTTCTCACCTGCAGGAGTAGGCGTTCGAGAGGCCTGATGGTCTGCGAGGGAGGTGGAGATACTCTCGGCAAGGAGGCTGGGCGTAAAGGGTAGAAAAGAGAGAAACCGTGTATAAATCGAATCACCAACTTATGCCCTTAACATGATGAGTCTCGGAGGAAATTCAAAAACTAAGTGTTCTGTTATTCTAGTGTAACCTTTGTAGTCACATGTGCTTGAGGTTTGCATTTAGGTAAGAAAATCAGAACTCCGTTTGTGTGGCGTTAGCATTGGTCATGGTAACTGAGGATAATAGAATGACAATCCTATTTTGTGATTGAAAGGCTGAAAGCAACTCACCAGTGAGGGTCTTGTTTCAATGGGATCATGGAATATTAATGGGTTTCCAGAATAAGTACAGCTTATGATAAGGATTTAATGGAACGCGGCTAGAATACATAATTTGAATAAATATGATGCATAAGTTGATTACTAAAAGAAGATTTAAACTTTTGGTGTGATTTATGAGTCGTAAGCAGATTTTTGACATAAGGCGAGTTAAAAATTCCCCCCTGTAACCTTTCCAATAGAAATGATGAGATGAGAAGGAGGATTTAAAATTAGTCGGGTCCGTCCATATCTTATGACAAATTTTTTGACATGCTGTCTTTTTCTGCCACAGTTTATCAGGAAATTTTATAACTTGTTGCAGGGAAGGTGGAAAAAGAGGAGAGGTAAGCAAATGTGTGAATAAACTTCTAACTGAGGAAGTCGATATGGTGATAAGTGATTTTATGATTCTTAAAAGCACCAAATCATACTCTCAGTTCGGTGAAGAGCTCCTAGTGAAAAATTGTCGTGTTCATGCATAACCTGCAAGTAATTTATTAATCCTGCGGTTTACAGCTTTTGGAGATGTTTACGATCCCGAAATGTTTCTACTTCGATGTTTAGGACATCTGTGTTGTTGAGTATTTAAAAGCTTCGCCAAGCCAAATTAGCCATATATAGAAAAGTTCGTTTTGGCTCTTTCGTTTTATTTTCGTCTAATTGGTCAATTCTCTGAGATGATGCGCTTTATACGTGATAAAAAATACGTTCGAGACAAGGTAATTCAATGTTATAAGTAGGTAGGAATTAATGCTATTCGTTCCCTCTCCAAGTCCTCTAATATAATGGCTTTGTTCTCTTTGGTTTTTTAGTTGGGACCGCAGGTAGTCGAGACTTAAATCTTTCCAGTGAGGGTACTCAGTCACCAATCAGCATTATCCCGTCTTCGTCTTTACTTATTGTATGAGTGTTCACACCACAACCACTGTTACTTTGGGTTGACGGTAGCCGCGGAACCTATATATACATTGGGCCAACAGTGAAGAAATAGTCCTCTCGCATTCATTGAGTCGAAGGTGCGTTGGAGACACAAAATCATTTTTGATCGCATATGCCTGATAAGTGGCTACATTTTTCTCGCATAAACTTGCAGTTGAACAGAATATAAAGGCTAAGAATGAGGACACTAGCATGACGTACAGGGTGCTTCAAACTCCTATCAGCAGGTACTATCTGCAGAAGTAGAACAATTGTAAAGAAGTTGAAACTGTTTGAGGAAAGCTAAATGAAGAAATGCATGCTTGACTACCCTTTGATGCATGAGTGCATAACAGGAAAAGGTAGTAATGTAGATGATTAATGTCGCAGTCCCTCCAAGGGTTATTTGAATTACTTAGGAACTTGTCTTAGGGTTAGAAGTTGGAAATCAGAAGCCATCTCGAAGGTAGGTAGGCTTGTGGACCGAAATACGCCAAAAATAATAGCGTTGTACAAAGTAGGCAGCAACAGTTCCCTTTCATCTATTCAACACTTTTCTACCTCTGTGGAATAAAAACTAATTTACCACTGAAAACACATTCCTGCTTAATAAGGAGTTTATATTTTGATTGTTAAGATGACCAGATAAACTTGAATAAAACGCTTTTTCGACCTTTCTACCTTACCTTTATTCCCCAACTGTATCTTTGATTTCACGTGTCATTACTTAACGTCAGGAAAATCAGGTAATCACTACTTCGAAAATGTCTCATGATGAATTGAAATAATGAAGATATACGCTGTTTTTCCCCTTTCCAACCTAATTCAATATCTAAATCTTCTCACAGGTTAGCTTCTTAATATGAGATCTTGTTATGACTTGTGAGAAGGGGAATTCCCTTTGACTGATCGACTAGTTCGAAAGGGTTTTCATCAAGAAGCTTTTCTCGTCTCCTTTTTACCTGTATTGTATCGAATAGATAAATAACAGTGGTAATTTTTTGACTTTCTGTGAGAAATTTATAGAAAAATGCGTAATTTATGGTCTGAAACACAGAAAGTACCAACTTCTTGCAATCAAGTGGTATCTTAGGGTTGTGGAAAACTAGATCATTTGGAAAATACCCATAAGACGTTCTCTGAACATAGGAACAAGGAGGAATTTCCTCATCGCAAGCCAGGCAGAAGATTCTTCTTTCTTCATAGTGTGCTTTTGAGGTGAAAAAAGGAAAGTAACAACTGCTAATGGGCGTGGGCGGGGCAAATCTGTTCAGTTTTTATGGCCTTCTCCGGGTTAATATAGTTTCAAACGATGTGTTTTATCACTCACACTAAGCGTCGCCGACGGTTTATCTTGATACGCAATTCTTCATGACGAAAAAATGAGAATTATGAATCTTGGAAGATGTCAGTAAAAGTGTTCAATTTTTAAACCACCTCTAGACGGTACATTAAGATAGCCCACATTCTTCAAATGGCATAAGTGGAATCATTAAAGGTGTTCCTGCTGCCATAACATTGGAACCTAATTTAACATAATCTGTGGAGAAGACAATCTTGAACCACATCACACTCGTTCAACTGAAATCTCATGTCATAAAGATCGAAAATAAGAAGAGAGTACAATAAGTAGGGTCAATAGACGTGATAATGAAAGCAATCAAATCCCTTGAATCAGTCCCTACAATTGTCAAAAACTCATTGTAACATGCCCCACCAAAGACCTTACAAGCTTATTCGGTTACCTGATAGCTGATTCATTTATCACCCGATATGCGTATGCTAATAACTTACAGAATGTAGGCGAAAGCGCCCACACTCCAAAGATCAGACAGGGCACTGCATTTCCCACCGTCATCCAATTCAGGTGCTGAAATAACAAAATAAACAACAAAAAAATTAGCAACATTTTCTTCAGAACAACAAATTTTTGCTTTACTTTCCCTAAATAATCTTGGAGAGAAAGTTACAGGACGCAACACTGTTGTTACTACCTATGTTCGAACACTTTTGAGGTCTCAATTGCCCAAACCTAATCAGAATTTTAGCAAATAATAGAACCAAAGAAAGGTGCCAATAAGTTCCATCATCCTCATCACTCATTCTTCCTGCCTCATTACCCAAGTAATTACCAGTGAAACAGTCGGCTCGTCGTTCCCAAGGTTCTGTGGGCTCCACTCCAGTCAAAACAATATCGGGTAATGCCGAGGTGCGTCTAGCTGCCTGGACTTTGTCAAAGTCCACCCGTCCATGCACTCGTCCCTGAAAGGCTATGTGGAGCCATCGGAGTGCGCAAAGCAGTTGATAGACCCACCGCGCCACGCTGAATTCTGTGAACTCTCCACGCGCTAACAGGACATCTAATAGCGCTCCTCCTGGTATCCAAGATGCAAGCCCTAGCCCCACTGTTGGCCTGGCGGCGTCGTTAGCCAGCCAGCCAAGGCTGATGCCTTGTGGCAGAAGACAGGGAGAGCGGATGCCAAATTGTTGAGTGAAGAGGGGAGCCCCTTCCAATCCTCCAGAGGCTGGAGTCGTGGCCGTCGAACGAAGGAGGGTGAGAAGGAGAGCCTGTTGACGTGCTTGGGATTCCAATGATTCCGCAAATGATGCATCGGTGAGCCGTGTAATTCGGGCTATGAGAAAAGCGGGTAGTCGAAGTGGCTGCTTCTCTGGTCGCTGATTTGGCAAGTCTCCCCGTTCTACGAGAGCTGGATGACATCGGATGAGCGTCATAAGCTGGGCACTGTTTCCAAAAGTGCCTCTGGACAGGCGAAGGAAGATGGAGTGTTGTCATTAGATTTTTAACAAATAATGCGGTTTTTCAAGCACTAAATCACCTTGAAATAAGACCCTCTGTTCGACAAAGCATCTTTACGGCTTCCATATGGGGAAACAGACCCCCAGCCTGGATCATTTCCTTAACGACTCCAGAGGGTGGTGGTCGTCTGAAGGCCTCATGTTCGGCACCGACGGACTTCGATGACGCAGTTGTCGACATTGCCTCGGGGTGGTCGCTGAGGCCGAATGGATGGGAGGCCTGTCGCCATCGAAGAATCCATTCGCGCTCCTTGTCCATCAACGGCAATGTCCTAGCATGACCTGTGAAAAAAACTGTAACAATAAGTATAAATTGACAACCAGATACTTATCCATTACTTCCTCATGGAATTTTTATGCAATTGTTTTCAGCATTCTGATCATTTTGGACGCCTATAATTATGATAATTTTGGCTCATATGTCTGGCAATGTCTTCGGGAACTAGGCAGATGACAAATTGATAGCAACGTTAGCAATTCTGCTTCAAGCTGCCAATAAATCCAGCCTCAAATGCTGATGGTTGACCTTCTTCTGTTGATAAGGAAACACATAACGGATGAATCTGTAAACAGGCTAATTTTAAGCTCTGTTACCTCAATTGTAAAACGAGTTCACTATTAAACGAATCACCTGAAATGAATTATAGGATTGAACCTAATGTTGGTATGAGAAGAAAAATGCTAAGCGATATCAGGAGTTTAACACCTTTCCATATTCCAAGATTCCAAGACTAATCTAGGTGACTGAGGAGGCGGTGCAAGAAGGGTGGTGTTTCAGAAAAACTTGAATCTTTTATTTTATTAGGCAAGTTTTATTTTGAAAATATCTTCTTTAAAAAGTGTTTTACCAAGGTGCATAAGTAGATCAAAGAATTACGTCTGCACTCCTGAGACCTTTAACATAGTTTAGCGTTCAAACGCTACTAAGATAAACTTCTCACTGTGGTGACAGTAACCTCATTGTTTGGATTCCACCCTAGAAGCTGTTTCAAAGCAATGCAATAAATGCAGAAGTGCCGCTGATGATTCTCAAAACAAGATGGAATCTATTAACAAACTTTCCGGTGTTGTAAAAACTTAAATACATGAGAATAATAACGCTTTGCATTTCAAACTTGAAAATCCTAGGTGTAAATTTGGTACCAATATCAATAAACTCTTCAAACAGCAATGGAAGAGTAAGGTAGCCCATTTGAAGAGAGGATTTACTGTATCAACTGGATCGTCGGAATACAAATCAAGACCAACCACTGGGAATGAATATGAGAGACCACAAAATTAACTTCCACTTAAGCACTAGTGTTGGGCTCACCAGAATGCAGACGAAACTCCGAGGAAGCGATACTGTAGGCACTCCAGCCAACAGCATTGCGGACGCACACCCGCACGCGATAGGCCTGTTCTGGTTGCAGGCCGGAGATGAGAAAACGACAATCCACGGAGTATCCTACTGTTCTCCATGCTGAAGCAACCGGTTTGGCGTCTAATGCAAAGACAAAGATTGATTAGATTACTTTTTTAGCCCGGATACTCAAGTTAGTAACTTTTGAGCCATTCATTACTCTGTACAAAGCAATATTTATTTTAACTCTAAGTTAACTACGCGAGCTCTTCACTTGTCAACGTTTCTCTCCAGTATGCGTAATAAGGATTTTTTTGGCATTATGGACAACTGCGTCCTTGAAGAGAATACAGGACTCTACACTGAGAAAACAATCGAAATATGAGTGAAATCGCTTCCTCTGAAGAATGTGGCAAATCAATGCCTCGAAGCACACAGCAACCTTGACAACAATGACTGTCTTTATACCATGCCCTTAGAAGTAAGGACCGACTAATGCCACCCAAAGGATTGCAGCCTTTCCTCCATTCCAAGATTACAGTGTTTCAGCGAAAAGAGTGAAAGTGGGAACTTTAGTCACTGTGGAATGCATACCAGGATATTTGACATCTACACGGTAGATGAAGTCCTCACAACTGTCATCATTTCCACAAGTCCAGCCAACGAGAACCTCCGTGGAGGCTGACTGCAGGATGCCTGGACGACCAGGAGGTGATGGCGGTTCTGTAAAATGAGATTGACAAGACTAAGGCATGATAGCGAGAATGAGGCTCATCCACTAAAAAATAAATTTATTCATTACGAAGTATAAATACGGCATCGCGTTAATGCGCGCTGTTATTCATTAAATTAACGGTAGATGGTACATAATGGAGCCACTTTGAAACACTTAAAACAGCTCGAGTGGTAATGTGGCGAGACTTGTTTTATACATCAGACACCTTACAACAAATGTTCCCTACTCCGTTGGTGTTTTGAAGAAAGCCTACGCCCAAATAGGTCAGATATTATATCAAAATAAACAGGTTCTGTGAATCGCCGAATCAGAAACGACACCGAGAAGTAATTTTCCAAACAGTACTGATTTCAAGTGCTGCAGCATAATCTATCACAGTACCAGGCGAGGTATAATCGTGGGTGATTGGGGCTGCTCATATAGTTCCAGCAATATAGTGAAGATATTGACCTTCTTCCAGGTTACAAAAACCAAAGTATAAAAGCGAGAGATTCTTTTTTACCCCAAAACAGGGAAGAAGAATGCAAGTAGAACAAATAGGCTTTGGCTTGAGCCACTTTTGCCGAAAAAGTAATTGGCATAAAAAATGGGTAAAAGCTAGCCGACTGGCTCTATCAAATCACTTACCAGGCAGAAGTATTCTTGCTCTCGTCTTTGCTTTTCCATTTCTAGCTCGAACCACACACTCTACTACTTTTTCCGCCATTCCACGCTGCGCATCGTCAAGACGCAGCCAGAGCCAACCATCAGAGCTAGCTCCTAGCGAGACACCCGGTGCTTCTGATAGCAGGCAACCCGCAAGGTACCACGCTGCTGCCACACTACCACTGTTATAATTGCCAGCACCACCGCTACCACTACTGATAGCGCCTCCACAAAGGGCAAAGCTTTCCATTCCGAGAGCTTCAAGATTTTCGCGCACATCGTTGCGTTGGTAGAGGAGTTCAGGAGCTGGCAGACGTGGGGGACTAGCCAGTTGGCAGGAAAAGAAAACACTGTTCGTCTGTGGGTCGATGCGACTGTCACGCAGTGGGTTGGAGAAGATTGGAGCTATAGTATTAAAAAGAAAGTAAAGGGATGCCAAAGACCCAAGCTGCAACACTATTCAAAAAAGTAAACTCCGAAAATGCTACTATCAAACCGTCAAATCTGGAGGCTAGTTCAGGACATACCGAGTTTTGTAGTGGATTTCAACGGACCCTCACAGAGGTGTGGTTCCACAGGGAGAATCTGCTCGTCACGTTTCTTAGAGATGTTATCGCAGAGACGTTTAATGGGTTCGGATGAGTCATCGGCAGAAAGAAGGCTGGGACTGCTACTCCAGGGATCAAGGCGTGGTGAGGGTGACTCAAGCGGTGATTTGTTTATTTGGCTAGCGTAGACAAATAGGATATTTTTCATTGATAAGGGTCTGCAATCTACCAAATTTAAAACCGTATTTAACTCGATTCTTCGCAATAAGATTGTGGTGTGACATGAACTAATGCTTGATTTTAATGTCCATTCTACTACACAAGCTCCTAAGCCTTGGCAGTTTCTTGGCGGCATGGGCCTCTAGCCACACCTATAGCTTTCCAGTTCTGCTACAGTCTGATAGTAAGCGAAGACTTGAATCGCTAATTTATTAACATGAAAGATAACGGAAAGCGTCATTCACATCAGCCAGAAAAACCTGTAGATTTACAAGGACGAAATTTCCTATTTTATTATGAGAGGCTCTTTAAATCATATTGACAGTGCATAAGAGTTTTAAAATCTCGACAGTGATTAAAGGTGTTCCACAATGCTCTTTTTGCCGACGCAAATGAGAATGCGTTGGGTAGATAACACTCCACTCAGTCAAATCGACTTGTAGTCTTACTATTCGTCGATGTCCAAATGGAGCAACGAGGACCTCAACGAAGAAGTGCCCGACCCAGTGAAACCAAATCTTTCCTCCGGTGGAACCATCAATGTTGTGATTCGACTCGTCAAATCTCTATCAATACTACATCCTCGTTCAGAAGATCCACCATCACTGGAAGACGCCCGTGGCAGTTGTGGGGAATCCTTCTGCGTCTCCATCAACATCGGCGATTCTGACGATGGTGGCGGTGTCGTAGATCTTCTACCTGGCACCGCTTCAATGCACGCGCGTCCAGCAAAACGCAAGAAGCTCTCCCGGCACAGGCTCCCCGTTGGGGTTGTTTTCTAAAATTACACCTTGCATATGAACTCACATTTGGCTGACATGTTTGGAAGCCTCGAATAAAGTTACCCTTTTTTGGTAGATGCGCTGGTAGGCTTTGAGGCTGTTGAGGCTATTCTCCAGATTGCGAGCACTTCGTCTACCTTCTGCAAGCCATGGATGTTGTAAACACTCCTTAGCAGTAGGCCGATTGCTAAAATTTAAGGAATTTCGGTGAAATAAACAATCGTAAAGAACGATAATCGATGAAAGGGAAATCTCACCAAGGTTCAGTAGCAAGCAGATGACAAAGAAAGTCAATCGCCTCTGGTGAAACATCATTTCCAAACTCCTCGGTTGACGCAGTCATCAGTTCAGCAATTTCGTCCCCTATTGAAGCAAAATCGTCCACTTTCAATGTCTCATCTGCATTACGAATGACCGGATGCTCTCCAAAGAGCCTGGTAAATGGAAGAAAAGTTTACTCATTGAAAGTTTGTGCTTAAAAAATTACGATAAAGACGAGAACCCACAGAAGATAAGCGATGACTCCGATACTCCAGACATCAGCAGCAAATCCGACGCACACTTTTGAGTCGTCTTCTGTGCTCAAAGCGGTGGTGATGCTAAGGAGTTCTGGAGCAGCAAAATCAGGACACCAGAGAGCAGGAGGCATGATGCTCGACATTTGAAGGGCAGTACGTTGACCTATGGGTTGAGCCATTGAGAAACCAGTGAGTTTGACAAAGCATGAGACAACACCGACGTCACTGCGGCCGCCAGCGCCTGCGGTGTCGACGGAAAGACTGTTGAGCGCCTGCATTAACCCTTCCAGACCAGCAGTGCGTGAAGAAGTGCCTCGTGGAAAGATTATATTGTCCGGCTATAGTAGGTAAACGTGATTTAAGGTCGTATTTTTCCTAGCGATTCAAAGACCGAGTGAAAACTTTTCTAATGATAAAAATAAGTGGAAGTTTTTACGTACTGTATTAAATAAGCTGAAGTACCAGGGAACACCTTTTGCATCTATACAAGCAGTATTTTATTTCGAAAAGATAAAATTATGAAAAATTTTAGTAAATTGTCATTATAGTAGAAGTCCTTTGATGGCTAAAAAAGTGTAGAGACCTCATTCCATTGTCTTATCCTTTAAGCTACTAGCTACCAAAAATTGAGATGACTTAGGTAATAACGGGACAGTAAGCAGAATGAAATTCTGAAATTAGTATTACTTAAAAAAACCTACCTGAATGTCGAGATGGACAATGCCTTCCTCATGAACATGTGCCACTGCTTCAAGGAGTTCTTTGATGAGCATCGTGGCAGCTGCCTCCGTCCAAGTATGCCCCAAAATGATCTCTTCCAGCAAGTGATTTCCGGATAGCCTTTAGAAAGTAAGTGCTCAGTGTGAATATCATAATCCTTTGAGGGTTTTAGTTTGAGAAAATAACTCCTCTATAGTGATTTAAGGGTCCACTTTCTGCTCAAAGCCACCCAGATCGTAGGTCTGGGTGCAGAGCGAAAAATTTGGGACCTAGTATTTGGTAAATTGGCATCAAACTATCAAAGCTTTGTTCTAAATTAGAAACTTCAATCCAGGGTCTAAAAAAACAGAAATATTTAGAAATAGAACCCACCTCTCAGTGACTAGGACGAGATAATCGTCACTGACCACAGCGTCGACCATCTCTACGACATTATTGTGATGCAGTCGATTGAGACATTCAAACTCTCGAGCACCCAGCACACGGGTCATAGGATCCACCAGTGCGTAGGCCTTGCCCACGTACTCCCGACTTGTCTTCTTGTCGATCAACAAGTGAGCGCGACTGAAAGAGCCTCTGGAAATTAATTATAAAAAGTATACACTACTAGTAAGGATGTTGATGTTCTCCCTGATATCACTCCTAGAAGTTATTGTACAATTTTGAAAATACTTTGCAGTGGAAGAATAAGCGACTTTTTTATTTTCAGGCTTCCATAAATAGACAAGGGCTGTGCAAAAATGCATGTCATGTGACCAGTGTCTGGTATGTTGGCTGCAGAAGTGTTTCATAAGGCAAAGGCTAACACAAAATTTGTCACTTATATTTTGTGAATAAAAAGTGCGTTGGATCTGCTTTTATTCTTAGTCACTAACAATTTTAAATTCTAAGGAGTAGGAAACTGATCACAAAAAATTCTGCGCGCCATTTATCGAAACAATGACGAAATCCCCCAATGTAAGTAGCTCAAAATGTAAAATATTATCCAAAATATACAGTACTTTTTCAAAAATCTGACAAGATCTGAACTCACGTAGCTATTTGATGAAGAACAAAGTAGTGCTTTTCTATATTTGACCATCTTGGTGTAATCGTTCGTGGAGACAGTTTTTCTGAAAAGGGAAATGAGTCGATCAAAAAGGAGTTTATTCTATATGCTCACAACTCAGAAGTGATCTCACTGGATGCTGTCAATGGAATATGCCAGACATGTAACTTTTCAAAAATCAAATGGCATAAAATTCTCTACCAGAGGCTTGGAGGAAAATCAAACTCTACAGCCTAAATATGACATTAACACCTGCACTTCCAGAAAGCACAAGTCACAACTACGATGTCAAGCTTGGATAAGAAAAGTGGAGCGTCACTTCTCTGTGACAATGGCAGCAAATGTGTCGAAAGATAGATCTAACCTAAGAAAACAATTTTCTTTTGAATCTTTTCATGCATAAATTAATGTTCTTCGTTATTATTTCATTATATGTGAATAAATCAACCAGTTTTCAATACAGTTTCGATTTTACCCACCGTAAGGCACGATGTGCGCTCAGTCATTTCATGAGATCAAACTATTACAGCTGTTAAAATTGATGTGTCGGATTTTGACCTCTCCATATTGGTTCCAGCTTACTTTATCTGCGGAAACTTTGGTATCAACTTCTCAAGTCATTCCATCACTTGGCGGTTACAGCATCGATAGCCATTAAGAGCGAATGGCCTATCTTCCGAGCCATCACCGAAGTAAAAGAGAAACTAGGACCGGACTTGTGGTGTCAGAGCTATAGATTCCCAAAAAATGCTTGATCGAGTCGGTCACTTTATGATTAACGATAACTCAGACCACCTTTACCTTCAATCCTCACGATACAACTAGTCTGAGCTCTTCCCGCAGGATTCTCCGCGATCATCGTGTAGAGGCCCGCGTCTTGAAAAACGCACCTCTCCACACGCAAGGAGGCGTCTACAGTCAACTCGCCGAGTTCCGCTTCTCTTTCGTTTGCGGAAAAATCGAGTTGAGCCACAGAACTCGTCTCTCCACCAATCCACGTGCGGTGCGAGGAAGTAAGACGCTTGGAATCCCGAGTCCATGTGATTCTGGCCGCTGGCACGGCGTCAACACAGCAGGGTAGTAGAAGGGTATGGTGCACAGACAATGTTACTATTGGTAAAGGAACTTCCGTGATCACTGGTGCGTCTGAAAATGACGAGAAGGAAAATCAGTAGAAAGTGGAACTAATTTTTAACCATTGGCCTAGATGGAGTAAGAAATGCGATCTGTACAGAATTCGTGAGTGGTCGTAGATCACCATCAGAAGGTGGCAGTTTTATCCGCGACTCCTATTAGTGGGGAAATTCTTTCAATGAGTCGTTCGATAAACGAACAGTTTCCCTGATAGCTTTAAGATATAAAATAAAATGATTTTTTGAAGTTACCTCATACAATTTTTCTTGAAATCTAAAAAGTTAATCCACTGAGGTTCAAATTCGGGAAAAATTAACCGAATGCTTATTTAACATTAATCGGGTTGAATTTGATATTTTCTAGTTTAAAAAGTAGTCAAATTTCCCTTGAAATATTACCCTCACTTATGTAATCACCGTTACACTATGGCCACTTTCTAACAAGAAGCAAGCTTGCTAGTTCCACTACCATAAAAGCCTTGTCTCTAGAAGAGAAAAATTCGGTGGAGTGACTAAATTTGGTCCTCTCCTGCTGACTCACCGGCCCTAACCACTCGGAACTCCTTAACAGTAGTGCCGAAATTGTTAACGGCCTTGCAAGTGTATGTTCCAAAGTCGCGTTCGTCGAGATCGAAGAGTCGCAGTTGGGCCGACTTTCCACCGCCAGTCACGTGCTGGAAGTAGCCCGACGGAAATTGCTCGTGCTCTATAAAGAAAGAAAACATTATTAATAGTTACACATCTCCCTTTTAAATCGAAGTTATCATCTTCTGACTTAGGTAAGACACCACAAGTTAGACATGCTCCTTTTAAATGTCTCGTTCAATTTAAAAGAACAAATGAATAATCACTATAGGCGCTTGGGTTACCTTAGGGCCCAAAAAATAAATTAAATAAAAGACGTGCCCTCCAATATGCCTTTCAGATGACCTAGGAGAAAATGCATGTCTTGTGTAAGCGTGACCATCAATGGTGGTCGTATACCATTCCATTGAATCTAAAGCAACACTTTACTACTACTTAAAAAGCAGCTAGAACAATGCACATTATTTACACGGAGGATGTTTAAGTCCAACCGGGCTTTAAATTTTTCATATTTAAACTACATTGTATTGCTTACCACGTGTGGTGGTAATCGAGGTGTGTGCGTGATAATCGGCACGCATATCGTGGACCTATTCAGCCACCATACATCAAGGGAGCATGTGTGCACGCAAAAATGGTACAAGGATAATGGTAAAGCTTCTTGTGATTGAAAATGTTAAAGTCAAACTCGCGGTTGTCCGCTAATCAAGGAGCCCTTAATTGCGCTTTTCAAGGTAATAGCACCCTCAGCAGTAAGCAGTTTGAATGATGTACATGTTTAAAAGACGGCCACATGTCTGAACCTTAACGGCAACTCTGGCAATTTCTGCAAACATTCACCCATCCTATGCAACGCCAGCCTCATCATGTACGTCTAATCAAAGCATAAATTATCATCACCCTAAGATGGTTCAACTGTACTAAAAAGGAATTCTCTGCCGAAGTATGCCTAATGGCCATAGAATACCAAAGTAAGCTTACGAATAAAAAGGGCATTGTATTAAAAAGTACAGATTCCACACAGTGGACTTCATTTTGCAAATATCAATGAAAATATCAGCCAGTCCTGCTTCTATGTGAATACTAACCGTGCCTTGTGCTTTAATAAAGATCTTAGCTTGAAGAATAAATAACAAGAGGATTTAAACGCTCCAAATCTTCTCTATACTAACCTAAGGGAGATAGGTTTTGTTCGGTGAGTATAGCTCCCTGTCCCCACCAAAAATAACTTCATTTCCACCCATTATCTAGAAAATCTTCACAGTTTTGGCCACTCAGCCTTTTTGTAGGACTGCGATAAATGTCTTCTGCATATACTTGTGACAAAATGCTCTCTTATTACAATCCTCTAATACCGCGTTATACATCGACTGAGATCAAGAAAAGGGTTAGAAAATTTAGTTACTTCAAGTCTTCAAGGGAAGAAAAATCAGCGTTTTAGCCCAATTTCAATGAAAATACATTTAAAACTCAAGAAAATTTACAGTCGTGCTTAAAGAGTCACCTCTTTGAATACCTAGGAAATTTTCTTTTGTCACAGCATATCTTACAATAGATATTACATGATGCGACTTTGATTCCAGCGGATAAACTGAACGATTTCCACTGGTATCAAAATCATAAATTATCTTCCTGCGTAAACAAGTGCACCGTGTCATAAGGGGTGCTTAACCGATGCGTAAAGACTGTCAACAAGGGCAATTAATTATTCAAGCCAAAAACGGAAGAAATTCGACGTATGTAGACATACTGGGAACATCTGGAATCTCCTGGTAGTTGAAGAACCAGATGAACTGCACCAGATTCTTCAGGTTGATGGAAGTGAGAGTGCATCGAAGGTCCAAGTCTCCACCACACGGAACGTAGACGACTTCAGGCGAAGGATTTTCAAACTGCGGTGGTACTAAAGACGAGACATTAATAAATACGTCGCTTTTCAGGATTGGCTATTCCCATTGGCAATGTGGTGATAGGGCCTGACCATGTGGTCTTTGGTTCAACGTCACTTTGGGCTACCAGTAAAATTTATTTTCGGGCTACTGTCCAGCAAGACCGATGGTTGCATGATTTTGAAGTACAACTCGAGATTATTTTTGTAAAATCCTTGTTTTATTAACAATTTTAAAGGTTATCCTATTGCCCGCGCAAAAGTGTACGTGGGAATAATGATAAGCATGGTCAAGTGGATCTGTTAAAACTGCACGAATTTCAGCCAATCGTAAAACGCACGTTCGCAGTCTTCTTTGTATAAAAACTTGGTAATTTACATGCCATTCCAATCGAAAGCTGAACTAACTAAATTATTTCCAAAGTAACTGGGCTGACATTAATTTGTCTGAATTTCTTTGAAATTCATGCCTAGCACATGAGGAAATGATTCCACAAACTTCAAAATGATCCACAGTATTGAAGATTGCTGGTATTAATGACTTACTAGAGTCGTAGGAACTGCTCAGGCTACTGTAGTTGCCCATAGACTGACTTGAGTCTAAAAGAGGGAACAAGTTACGTCATAAGATAATAACAAGATGGTGCCAGACTGTTTCACTAACTCAACTCCATTTTTTAAAGCACTGCTAAAACTACGAAAATAAATGGAAGATTTGAGTCAGTAAAAAAAATATACAAATTTCCAGTGAAAAATCTAGCATTTATTCCGATTCAAACGACTAACGCAGACATAGAATGGATGATACAGTTTCTACGTGTAAAACAGGGCCATCCAATTTCATGACGTTTTATGGTAATCGCATATTTCATCTTTAATAGCTCACTACATCCAAGAATCAAAAAAGAGATCTTTATTATTAAATAATCCTGGAAAAACATTCACTTCTAGCCCGTGATTTCCGCTTCCTCGTAGGTTGACTGGGTTCACCCCGACCAAAGTTAGTCACTGCTACAACACGAAGCACATACTCCTGCGTAGGATCTAGACCCTCTAGGGAACATCGGGGTTGCTTCAGTCCCCCTCGAAAGACCTCCCACTCATCTAAGGCACTTCCAGAGGCCACTCGACGCATCTGCACTTCATAAGTGAAGGGCGTCAAGGTCTGAGTGAGATTATAAACCTTTGGTGTCTGCCAACGCATTTCCGGAGGTTCACGACCCTCAAGAATTCCCATGGCCTCTCGCACCGTTGGAACCACAAAGGAAAGATCAGGAATCACTAAAAGAGAGGTACCGGAAATTTTACGATTAGTTGAATAGATCTTAAAAGCTAAATACAGCGTTTCACGAGTCAGCACTCACCAACTTGAGCATCCACGTGAGTTGCACGAGAGGGTAGACCTACACCAAACTGATTTAGGCCAACAACGCGAAAAGAATAAGGCAGAAGAGGATTCACTTTATCCCATGAGAAGACAGGTGATGAAAGTCCTGTGGCAATTTTCTCCCATTCCTTCCTGTTACCACACACAGCCTAAAAGGAGAATGGGTTAGTCTTACATGATGCGCCTATTTATGACGTTTCAAGCAATATATGTTTGGGTAGAAAATTCAGAGACACCCGCAATTTACTGAAAATCATTCTCCAAACGGTGAGCTTTAGCTGACTGAGGAAGTAACAGATGATGGGAAAGAAGCGAGCGCTCTATTCTTTGCGCAAATTCACATATTAATGTGGTTTTAATGTAACGATGATTAGTTTAGCAGTAAAATAAGAATCACGAAGGTAAGAGCTGGAACTTTCCATTCTTTCAAGGGCTGACCTTCAAAATAATGGCGTAGATATATACTACCGCTGCTTACACCACTTTCTGCAGCCCTTTCACAAATCACTTGCAGATTCGATGTTATTTAACAAGCTTCAGCTCTGAAGTGAGAAGGAAGAGAAATGAAGGCTTACCTCAATATCAAATGTGAGGTGTTCTTCCAAACTATGTGGTAGTGTAGAGGCCAGGACATGACTGCTAAAGAAACCTCCCAGATTCTCCTCAGGATAGGAAATTTGATACTCATCCACTTTGCTCACATCCACCTTGGCCTTGTGGTAGGAGAGATCGGGTGCCAGTTCAGCTTTAAAGAGATTACATAATTTTTTTGACGTTTAGACTCATGAAAGGTAAACAAGGGCAGTATAATTCTACATACCGGTTGGATTAGAAAAGTTTCATAAATTTAATCGGTTAAGAGTAAAAGCTTGTAGAAATCTGACTCAAAATTTATTTTACGCGCAGTCTCCATTTATCCTGGCTTTTAGCTGCTATGAAGCGGATTCCAGGTGGTTTAGAAGTCTGTACTATGTACAGTTGTGTTTAGCTTAATTTAGAGATCATTTTGCGAACAATTTTATATCCACTAGAAAAAACTGACTAAAACAATATCCGGATTTTGTTAAAATTGCAATTTATGCTTAAATCCAGATGATCCAGTCATTTAGAGTAACGGGTCACCACTTTTAAATGAGTAAAATCTGAAAAATTCGTCCTACTCAATTTTAAAGATCCACCACCTTGCTTAGAGCTGATCCGGGGCAGCTTGATCATGTTTCTTGATAGCTCCCAATTCTGCACACTTGATGGACATTTTCTGAGATGTCATTATTTCCTACGTATTTTAAGCGAAGTCCAGACCTGCGTAAGGGAGCTTTTCGTGATTAGGAAGTGGTCCTATCGTCTTCTCGACAGGTATAACTGGCTAAAACAATATTTGAAACATTTAATCGCATGAATTGGTAGTTTGTTTCTTGAAAATTTCAGTCTTCACTTAATCGGGAAAGTGTTTTTGCAGATGTAATCTTTCATAAAACAAGAGAATGTCGTATTTCCGAAGTATTCTATCAATTAACACATTTCGTATGCACAAATTCAAAGGTATTTTTTTAAGAAATTGAATATTTAGATTGGTTAAACAAATTTTGGGAATAAATCGCTCAAAAAATCACCACTCTCTTGTAAAAACGGAGATACGAAGGTTCTTCAAAGGAAATGCCAGATTTAAGCGTAAAGTTCACAAGGAGGTCGTTATGAAACTTACCAGTCTTTACGTTGATCCTCACAGGTCTACTCGGGGCACAGGGCTGATTGTTCAGGAAGGCAATGACTCGATATTCATTCCCGTACATCTCCTTGGGACAGTCACGCAGTGTCACCTTGCCCGTCAACTCATCCTGCAAACTCTCGACAGTTGCCACGGGATACCAGCCTGAGGAGAAGGCGTCCCGACGCTCCACGCAGTAACGGACAAGACCATGTAAATCTGCGTTCTCCTCGTAGCCGCTGTCACCCATTCCACGCGCCGCAGTGGGAGAAGAAGATACTACTCGACGTCCCATCGATTCCAACGCGTCGATGGCTTCGTCCCCTAGACGCCAGCGCAGAAAAACCGAACGAGGGGCCACTATCAGAACCTTCAAGTCTTCCACGCAGCTGAAATAAGACAGAAATTTGACAGATAAAGCAGGTTTAGAAAGCCAAAGCCCAAAATTTTTCCTATATCTCACCCTTGAAGCTCTGACAGCCGTTTGGGAATGTGGACAGCTGGCACTTCTACCTCCGGTCCCTCACCGAATCGATTGATTGGTATGACTCGGTATCGAAGAGTGACACCGCCCATCGGCGTCTTGTGTTCAAAGAACGTTTTTGAGGAACCTATCACAGTGCCAATTTCACGCCACAATCCATGGTTCTCCTGAACCTCCACGCGATAGGAAATTACCTGTGGGGTGAAAAACACCCCAGGCTCCAACTGTTCCTCCAAAATTCTCTCTCCCTCGGTTTGACCGGAATGATTCCAGTCAAGGCGTACAGAGAAGGCCTCGCCTTTTTCTTTCGGCTGGAAGACACGGGCTCGCAGACCTTCCACAGGCGATGGAAGAAGTTGGCGCTTCGAGGGTAGTCGCACCTGTCTGTAGGCATTCAACCACCCGAAAACTGAACCATTGTTCGTCAGAGCTAGAAGCCTAATCCGTTGTTCAGCAGAGGAATGGAGAGGTAGATCTAGGCAGTAAGAGTCGCCGAGAATAGGTTGAGACCGAGGTCCAACTGGCTCCCACAAGCCTTCAGGTTCAGTAGTATAACCGATGGGCATCACAGCATATTCCATACGGTATTTGCCATGTAGATTGCCATCTCTACAGCGAAAAGTTTCATCCCATTTCAGACTAACTCCATTCTCGATATCCGTGGAGGTGAGCCACAGCGGAGACCTTTCTTCACCATCTAAAGGCGCAACTATTGGAAGAGAGAATAGTGCTTCACCCGAACGAGTTAGTTTCTCTGTCTCCGAGTCTGTTTGTTTCGGTAGACCGAAATTGGTAAGTCGCAGAGATTTTGTGGGTAGGGTCGAGCCGTAGTCATTTCGACAAACAACTCGAATCTCCGGACTCTGTGAGGTGGGAGTAGATGCCTCTTGAACAGCTCGCACGATATATCCTGGAAGCTTGTAGACTGTTGTGTCGACAATGCAGTCGTCTACCATACGCCAGGGTCCAGTTCGTCCCTTCTTCCATTCTAATGTGTAGATGGGTTTCAAGCCACTGACACAGTCGTCGCAGTATTCCGGAAGATAGGCCTCTTTCCAATGTAACATGAGTCCTGGATAAGCACTCTTCTCGGAGCAACTAACATCTGGTCTAATAACGGATACCCATGGTGGATCTATCGCAAAATCTGGAATTAAGTGCTCCACTGGAAGGTTAGCAATGGCCGTGGCGCATGGTTCAGAGGTTCCAAACTCATTGTAAGCCCGAACACGCACCAGTGTAGAGACTCCAGGTTTTAAGTGATAGGTGTAAGTTTTATCTTTCAGCCCCGAGGCTACTGGCTTCCAGTCACCTCTTGTGCCCTCCCGCACCTCTACAATGTAGGAGACGTTGGAGGGTGCTCCGCCAGAAGGACCAGACCACGTGATCATGACTGAGGTTAGATCCACATTAGAGATGACAGGTTTGACGCCAGTCATATTTGGCACACAGGCACGAGGTGGGATTTTGAGTACGGGCTGAGAAGGCGGGCCCGTTCCAAGAGCATTTTCAGCGTGGACACGCAACTGAATAGGCTGGAGAGGTGTAGCAATGGTATGTGGAAGGGTGGCACGAGTGGTTTGTAGACCAGTAAGCACAGGACTCCAGAAATAACCGTTATCTTTGGACATTTCCACGGTGTAGACCATATCACTAGGTTCTTCTTGGGACACTGGACTCCAACGAATCGTCAGCTCGGTTGGAGTTGCGCTTTCAACCATTAGACCTTCTGGAGCTGTTCTAGGAAGACCTGAAAATTAAAGGTAGGCTGTTTAATGGATATCTTGAGCAGAAATAATCTTAGAAGGATGACATTTCGATTCGCTTACCATATCGTGGCGGCCGGATTCTGCTTGTTTCTACCTCAGTCTCCTCAATAGGTTCATTCGTGCCTAAATAAGTTCCTCATAGGATAGTAATATAGAAGTTAACTCGAGCTTTTGTATTATTTGGAGGAAACGTACCATCAACGGAAATCTTTGCAGAGGTCTGAGTTTTTCCCAGTTCGTTAACAGCACTGCAGATATAAGTTCCACGATCTCTAGGTTCAACGGAAAAGATCTTCAGTGTGGAGGTGTTGTCATAGCTTCGAACTCGGTGATGATAGTCAGATTCCACAAGTTCTCCATTGTGTCGCCTACAAGACGAGGAGAATCATCACCTTCGGTGCAAATGATAGCGAAATAACAGTCACCTCCAGCTCACCAGAAAAAGTGTGGAATGGGATCACCAACGACACGACAGGTTAGTTCCATGGTTTCACCAGAAGAACAGTCCAAATCTGTAAGCTTTTTGGTGAACATTGGTGCAATGCCGTGAGAAACATAGGTAGCTCTGAAATTTGCATTAAAATTATTTCAAGAGACGTAATAAAGTAGTATGGTTTATGGATGCGGTTAGCTGGATTTATTGTGTAACAACGATATTCTGATGAAAGCTGGGTGTTGAATGCATTCCCTACCCACTTCCGAAAAGTTCCTCTTTTCCTAAATTTCATTTTTAATTTGCTTTGCTATTGTTGATAACTTAAGAAATTTCGGCCGGAAATTTTTTATAACAAACCTAACCATACGAAGAGTATGTTCAGGGTTTGCCAAATCCGTACCGTTAAAGCACTCAACTAGGCTGAGGACTGCTTTGATATTTGATTGTGAAGTGCGTGTTCATGAATCAAGCAGTTGAAGACCGGTGGGATGCGATGGAAAGGCATTTAAAGCATGTTTATAAAGAGCTACTTAAATAGGCATTCAAAGGTTAAGTGCAGTATGCTCTTATTTTGAGTTTAAGGGCTAGAACATTGATAGCAGTATAACTATAAACTGAAGTCACCAACTGTCACCCAAATGCCGAAAATTACCTACTCAAACATCATGTGATTATTTATTTTTGATACCATGAGACTTCTCAAATTACTGCGTCTAAGGTGCTTTATCCTACGCCTACTCTTGTCACCATCCCCCTCTGATGGGTTAGTAATCCTTAATGGTTAGACTGAAACACATTGGCGGGTAAACTAGCCTAAGTATGTTGCATTTTTAGTTTTCGAGATTGTAGCAAACCATATATCGCAATTTTCATTGTCTTTTTTAACCTTAGGAGCCTTGCTATCGTTGATATGAGCAACTTCATCATTCATATTACCTGATTGTTCCTATCATTTTGAATAAATAAATTTCAAGTGTTCTGTATTCATTCCAATGGAGATTCTAGCAGACTATCCTTGAAATTAATCGGAACAATATGTAGATTTTAGTGCGTCGAAGTGCATGCACAGAAATAATATGTAATGGGTTTATGACACATTCAAGGATAGAGCGATTCATACTGTGCTGATAAGTGGTTAGATTAGTTTGCATTAGTCTCACCTGGTTGAGTCAAGGACTATGTCAAATTCAGGAGTACTGTGATGCAAAACATGGTAATTAAATAGTGCATTCAGTAATGTGGAGCCATTGTTTAAAAGGAACTCACCGATTCGGTGTGGCATGGGGCATAGCTCCGAAGTCCGACTTGCCTCTGACATGACACGACGTCAGCACGGGTTCCCTCCCCTGTCTAGCAGACAATCTGAGCTCGTACTCACCCAGATGATGCTTGCTAGCAGCAGGGATAGTCAACGCAAAGTAGTTTCCACTATCCCACACCACGTATTCTGAGGTTCTGGACGGCTGAAAGCAACACCATAGCGACGCGTAACCAGAAGATTCAGTGGGTCTAAACCATCAGGTGTCACTTACGTTGATATCGCGCCCATTCACTGACCATATAGGGGTTAATCCGGGGAGAGGTTTGGCAATCTCTGCATCCAAAGTGATGGTATCGCCCTCGGACACGCGAATCTCTTTTGGTAACTCCTTGGTGAAAACTGGAGTCTTGGAAAGATCTGGACATGGGACTGTTTCAGCAGGAAATATCAGGAGTTCTGGGAAGTCAACCTCCCATCCGGTTCCATAGCCTTCCTCATCTGCTGCCTCAGCAAGAGGCTCCTCCTTAATTGTTGGCAGAGGATTATAAGTGACTGAGTAAAATCCAACATCGTCCAGAGTTACTGCGGGCTTGTGCAGGATCACCGAAGTGTGGTCCTGATTCTTCTCCGAGGCTTGAATGGAGAAATCATGCGATGGATCATCTGGTGATAGAAGGACGCCATTGCGGCTCCAGGAAACGGATTCCGGTGGAACTTTGTCAACTGGCACACTGAGATCTGCGACAAGACTTATGGACTGCCCCTCACATGCTGCAAAACCCAAGGGCTGGCAGAGATTTGGTTGAACTTGCAAAACGTTCACATTCTCCCCCTCTCCTTTAACCCCCTCTTGGTTCTCCATCCGACCGCGCCGCTCTGCTAGTGCTTTCTTTGCTGGAACGATTTCCACAGGGATGGAAAGATGCGCTTTGATTGAGCATAAGTCAGTAGGTTCTAAAAACGAACAAAAGCATCCAAGAAAGTGGAAAAATCACAAGGAATTTTAGAGACTAATAAGTTTACCTATTGTTATCTCGTAATCTCCAGAATCAAGGAGGACAGTGGAATCAAGATACAGCTGAGCCATGAGTTCGCCATCATAGCGTTTGCCCAAAGGGTTTGGCTCAAGTAGACGTTGAACTCGTTTGCCAGAACGAACTGGCTGACCATTAAGGGTCCATAGAACAGAAGGCACCTCTGGTGGAATACCAGTGACAGTGAGACATAAGGGTTCACCAGATGGAATGGGTATCTTTTCATGTCCCAGACGTTTATTTGCATTGGCTTCAATGCAGCGGAGTTCCACGGTTTCAATCGGTTTAGTTTCAATCTTCTCTACCACACGCGCGGCCTCTTCCAACTTTTCTACATCCTCATCTGAAGCCTTTTTCTTTTTAAACTTCCTTTTCACCTCCTCGCCCTCACCTTCACGAGATTTCGACTTCTTCTTTCTCTTTTCTTTCCTTTCCTTAATATCTGCCTCCGCTGCCTTTCCTACCAGATTGTAGGCTTGATTGTCCTTAGGTTTCTCTTCGTCCTCTATTATCGTCATTTCTTCCGTTACAGCTATAGGTTCCGGTTTGATTTGCTCCTCTTCCCTCAATTCATTTGAGACAGAAATTTCAGAAGATGCTTCTGTGATCTCTCCAGAGATCGCTGGGGGGTTGTCCGACACTTTTACAATTATTGTAGCGTAAGTAGTTTCTTGAGACTTAAAGCCGCGCTTGACTCTGGGTTCGCCCATTAACACATACGTCGCTGTATCTTCGACCGTAGCAGGCTCTTTTTTAGTCAGTTCAATGTCTGTGGACCTTGGTGGTTTCGGTTTTGATTTGGAAGTATATATGGCCTTTCTAGGAGTGATTCCATCCACATCTAAGAAGGGTTTTCCATCTTTCGTCCACCAAAATTTCTCTGTTTTGAATTGACGAGCGTCTAGAGAAACTGAAGTCGATAGCTGTAGCTTGGCACCAGTTATCAAAGAAACAACATTTCCTGTCAAGATTGCAGGCTCTGCTGGAAGCGATCCTTTCCTTACTTCTTGAATGGGTTTGACTTCTTCCTCTTGCAAAGTCTCTGACGATCTTGGCTCAGCTCCACCATCAATGGATTTCCTCTTCTTTTTGGGCTTCTCCTCACCACTTTCGCCTTTACTCATTTTCTTCTTCCGTTTAGCCTCGTCAACTTCCTGTTCTTCTGGAAGCTTTTCAGCCTCCGGAACCTCCTTTGTTGGTTCATCCTTCTTTCCTTCCACACCAGCTGATGCGGCTGCAGGCTCATTTTCTACCTCATCAACATCAGCTTTCGGTTTTTCTCCCACAGATACAACAATCGTAGCATAGGTCGTTTCTTGTGGCTTGAAACCGCGCTTAATCCTCGGTTCGCCCATCAGCGCATAGGTCGCTGTATCCTCGGCAGAAACCGGATCTTTCTTGATCAGTTCCACAACAGCAGACCCTGGAGACTTTGTGGAAGATTTGGAGGTGAATTTTGCGCTATGTGGCGCAACTCCATCCACATCGACTAGTGGTTTTCCATTTTTTGTCCACCACAATCTATCGCTCTTTATTTGATGAGCATTAAGTGGGATTTCCGTGTTGAGATGGAATTTATCGCCTTCTATGAGTT